AAGTCAGCGGCAGTCATGTTATGGAGCCTGACTAAAGCATAGACTTTTCCTTGTTGGGTTTCTCATTCAAAAGCCTATTTCTGAGGCCAGTGTTCTGATTTAGGGGGTTAAGCTGCCACCTGCTAATGCTGGCATCCCACATGAATACCAGTTCAAGTCCCAGCTGCTCTGCTTCTGATCCATCTCCCTGCTAATGTGCCTGAGAAAGTAGCAGAAGATGGCCTGAGTGCTTGGGCTCCTGTCACGCTTAAGGGTGTCTGGGTTGGAATTCCTGGTTCTTGCCTATGGCCTGGCCCAGACCTGGCTGTTGCAACCATTTAAACAGTAGATGGAAGATCTCTGTCTCTCCCTCTTTCTTTGCCTTTCAAATAAATAAATCTTTTTTTTTTTTTTTTTTTTTTTTTTTACAGACAGAGTGGACAGTGAGAGAGAGAGACAGAAAGGTCTTCCTTTTTTTGCCGTTGGTTCACCCTCCAATGGCCGCCGCGACCGGCGCACTGCGGCCGGCGCACCACGCTGATCCGATGGCAGGAGCCAGGTACTTCTGGTCTCCCATGGGGTGCAGGGCCCAAGGACTTGGGCCATCCTCCACTGCACTCCCTGGCCACAGCAGAGAGCTGGCCTGGAAGAGGGGCAACCGGGACAGAATCTGGTGCCCCAACCAGGACTAGAACCCGGTGTGCCGGCGCCGCTAGGTGGAGGATTAGCCTGTTGAGCCGCGGCGCCGGCCAATAAAATAAATCTTTACAAAAAAGTTGACTTCTTTAGTTAAGAATGAAAGGGTTTGGAGAATTTGACATTAATCTGTCCTGAGGGTTAATCTTCAAAAATACTGGTCCAAAATGGATTGACTTGAATGTTATTAAAGTAATAATAAGATTATCAATGTAAATTTCTGGCCCAAAGAGGAAAGATGTTTGAAGGATGAAGGAGGCACTTGGTCATTTTTGCTGTGACAGGTTAAATACAGGGTATACTGGGAGCATGTCAGAGGTCTACTTCCCACGGCTTGAGAGGGCAGGAGAGGTGTTTCTCAGAAAGTGATGTTCAAGCTGAGGTGGGAGGCACCTCAGCAAAGGAAGTCATGAAAAGATGAAATGGTTCAATAGGGAGAGGGCTGGGCCTGCATTATGGTGTAGTGGGTAAAACTGCCGTCTACAAGGTCAGCATCCCATATGGGCGCCAGTTCAAATTCCAGATGATCCATTTCCAATCCCAATCCAGCTCCCTGCTAATGCACCTGGAAAAGCAGCAGAAGCCCACATCCATGTCGTAGATCCAGATGGAATTTCTGGCTCCTGGCTTCAGCCTGGCCCAGCTCCAGCTGTTGTGGACATTTAGGGAGTGAACCAGTAGATGGAAGATCTTTCTATCTCACTGTTCCTCTGTGTGTGTATGTGTGTGTGCGTACGCATGCGTGTAACTCTGCCTTTCAAATAAAAAAGCTTCCCGAAAGAGAAATAGGCATACTTCTGCTTGGCTGGAGAATGGACTGTAGATGAGATGGTGATAACAAAATGGGGGGCAGGTGTTTAGTGCATAAAACGCTGCTTGGGACCCTGTATCCTATACCAGAGTGCTGGGGTTCAAGTCCCCACTCCGAGTCTAAATCCAGCTTCCTGTTAATGGGCACCCTGGGAGGCAGCAGACAAAGACTCAAGTACTTGGGTCCCTGACACTCATGTGAAGGACCCGGACTGAGATCTGGGCTCCTGGTTTCAGCCTGGCCCAGTCTTGGCCATTGCAGCCATTTGGGGAGTGAACCAGCAAATGGAAGATCTCTCTCTCTCTGTTTGTCTCTCCCTCTTTCTGTAACTCTTTCAGATAAACAAATAAGCCTTTAGTGACACACATATTTACTATACAAACAGATTCTTCTGAGACTGAGACAGGCAATATTAATTACCATATAGGGAGAACAGTATAAAGTGGAACTGTCCTGAGCAGGACAGGAATTACAGTCACCCTACTGGCCAGTGATGTTGAAGTGCTTGGACCTCTACTGAGAGCGCAGCATGCATATCTTTTCTTTCTTCCTTATAGAAGCCTAAATGACTTCATTCTTATCTTGGCCTTCACTTGCTCATTTCACAAATACTTCCTGAGGATACATTTCTGGCTACTGAGGTTACAAAGAAGAAAGGACAGTGTTCTCACGCTCTGTCTGGGGAAGATACACAAAGAAAGAATTCTAATATAGTTACATGATTGTAGCCCAAACATCTCCACTGAGCTCTAGACTTTTGTCCTTTCCAGGCACAATGCAAAACACAGGTCCAAACAGAACAGTTTATTTCTCCCCCAAATCTGTTCTTCCTCCAGTTGGGTCTTTCCCATTCCCTTCAGCCGATCTTGCAAGCAATGCCACTGTCCACTACATTGCTTAGGGCAAAAACCCAGAAAAACACTGCCTTAATCAGTGTTACTGTTCTTCTCACTGTGCATTTTAATTTCTTCTATAGTTTAAGCACACTGACTAAACAGAATTCTTTCTTTCTTCTAAATACTTACTTACTAACTTATTTGAAAGGGAGCGCTAGAGAGAGAGGGAGAGACACAAAGAGATGGCTCATCTGATGGTTAAGGATCCAAATGGTAGCAACAGCCAGGCATGGGCCAGGACAAAGCCAAGAGCTAGGAACTCTAGCCTCGTCTCCCACACAGGTGAAAGGGGACCAAGTAGTTGGGCCATGTCCCACTGCTTTCCCAAGGACATTAGCAGGAATGCTGGATGAAAAGTAGAGTAGCCAAGACTCAAACCAGTACTCTGATATGGGATGCTGCTATCATACTGTGGCTTACCCCACTGTGCTATGCCAGTCTCTGGAGCTCAGACTTCTAGGGAGGGCCTAACATCAGTTTGAAGTGGAAGGGTAACTTCCGAGTGCTTGAATGCTGTTTTTATTGAACAGATCCCACTATTACGTGGGCCTGTTTTTCCTACAATGGCACAACACTGATGACTCATATTCAGTTTGTTGACAATTATGACATCCAGATCTGGATGTATGCCCTAGCTAGACTCAAGAATTTCAATTTAAGTGAGACAAAAGATGCGAAGTGAAGCTATGTCCTCCGTGACGGACCCTGTCTCATTCTTGTGGTTTGAAAGGTGTAAAGGTGCAGGGGAAACACCAATGTTAGTAAACCGCTGTGTGAGAGGACAACTTCTGCTTAAATGGTCATTTTAATGCTTCTACCATTCATTTCCCCCCACAGCTTCCAGAGTGACCCCTCAAAAACCAATCTGATTACTGCATTGGTGTCAACCCTTCCTGGTATTCTATCCCATCCCAATGAGATCTGAAGTCCAACTACGGTTTATAAGACGACAGATAATCTTGTTCTTGGGCCTGTTTTCCATCTTACTGCTCTAATGAGCTGTGCTCCTGCCACATGCTTCTTCTCCATGCCAAAAGAGCCCCTAGCTCAGGGCCACTTGCTGTTCCTCTTCCCCTAGAACAGTTCCCCTCTAGAAATCCGCCAGCTCCCTTTCCCATTAAATCATCAGACTGCTGCTTACTGGGCCTCCTCTGTTGAGGCCCTCCTCATCTACTGTAACTAAAAGAAACCTTCCCCATTTACAGAACTGCTCCGATTTTCCATGTGCTGATTGGCACCATGCTAGGCAGATTCTGAGGGTTTAGCGTCTCAAGCTGCATCCCTCCTATTCCTTTATTTCCCTTTATAGATTTTTCCATAAAACTTACCGCATTACTGGTCATTATCTATTATTTAGTTATATGTGTATTTCTTACTGCCAATCTCCCCATTATACAAGCTCCATGGCAAATAGACTTTGCTTTGTTTGCTGCTGAATTCCCAGCACCCAGAAGTGTCTGTTCATTAAATAACTGTTGAGTGAATGAGTGAATGAATGAAGAGATTTTAGGATACATCAAATGTAAAATACATCAAATGTATAATACATTTATTGACACGATGTTTAAGAAAATGTCTTAAAGGGTATATACCAAATTGTTATCTGCTTACTTAGCGTGATAGGAGGTGGTTTTCACATTATTTTTGGCTCATACAAATTTTTTCAAATACGATTATCTTGCATTTACTTGTATACCAAAAAATGAATAAAGGGACCACACACGTAGAAAAGGTAAATGAATTCTAAAGCAGGTTGGGAAAATTTATCACAGACACACTTCTTAACAGATATAACAATATCATGGTTCAGATAAATCCTGGATCAAAGCCCCTTCCCCAATGCTTCCTAGCAATGCGGTCTCTACGCTGCAGCCACAATCTCTGCCCCTGGAGGTTGGGGATAATACTAGTGCTTACCTCACACGCTTGTTTAAAGTGAGACTGTATGTGTAATCTGCTTTGCGCAATGCCTGGCATGCAATCGGTACTCGACAATCGGTAGCTAAGGTACGAATCAGTAGTAGTAGTAGTAAGAGGTGTTGGGACATACCTAGCTCTCAAGATTGCCATCAGAGTGGACCACCACATCCTCTCATCAAAGTGCCTCCATCTGGGCCTCTGAAGCCCAAAGTGGGACTGCTTCTTTCCAAAGAAGGCAATTTCCACGTTCCAGAAGCATCTGAATGAAAGGTACCCTCCTCACCCCTAAGCCATTCATTCAGCCTGGAAAATCCATGAGCGGCACTGCGAGGCCCGCACGGGAGAGGCGGCCACGGCTCGCCGTCCTCGGGCCCAGGCCCTCCACAGGGGTGGAGGCGGCAATGTTTACCCCCAAACCCAGACAGTACCGGCCCGGTCCGCCTCACCGCACTCCGGAGGGGATCGAACGGCACCACGAACCGGGAAGCCTCTGGCGACGGGCCACGCGCCACACGGGAAAAGTGATTATGGGTCCGACTCAAGAGTCAGGCGAGCGGCTCAGCCCCATGCTCCCAGTGCTCAGGCACCGGGACGGCGGCGGCGGCGGCGGCGGCGGGCGCGCGGCGGAGGCCGGGTTAGAGGCAGAGGGGCGGCGCCGCCGGGCAGGGGCCGCCAAGGCTGGGGACCGCCGCGGGAAGGGGCGGAGGCGGCGCGCGCTCGCGAGTGCGCCGCTCGGGAGCGCGCACGCAAGGCCGGGCTGCGCGCGCGCGCGGCTGGCGGATCCTCGGCGCGGAGGCGGGGGCCGCGGAGAGGTGAGGCGCGAGGCGGCGCGGGGCCGGCAGGGAGGCGGCGGGGCGCGAGCCCCTCTGGCGGGGAGACCGGGACGCTGTGGGGCTGGGGGGTCATTGGGGACGACGGCGACGGAGAGCGAGCTGTGTGCCCTCGCGGCGGCGGCGGCGGCGGCGGCGGGCGGTGTCACGCCGCGCTGTGGGGGAGGGCGGCGCCGGGCTCCGGCTGACCCTTTGGGCCCCGCCCCGCGTCTGCGCGGCCTCGCGTGGTCCGAGCCTCTGTGTTCCCGTCTCTGCAATGGTGCGCGTGGTCACGCCGACTGCAGCCGGTGCGTGTGCCGCCCGGCCCCGGCGCTTCCCGTTGAGTTTCCAAATGCTCCTCCCCTAGGAGGCGTTTAGGCCCTGTTGTGGCGCCGAGGCTCAGATCCATCCAGTGACTTGCCTAAGAGCATGCGGCTCCGGAGCGAAGCCAAGGTTTGGATCTGGGCCGTCCAGCTCCACAGCTTTTCCTCCCCGCCGCCTGCCAGGCACTGATTTGAATTTGGCCCGTGTTGATTTGCAGCTAGCGCCCACTGTGCCGTGGATGTCAGTGTCACGAGGCAGTCTCTTGTGAGAAGAGGAGGAAAGACGGTTTTGCTCATGTCGATATTGTGCCTAATTACGGTAGCGTGCTTTGTGGCATGGGGGTGTGCCTCAGACTGCCTCCTGCACACCCTTAATTGGCCGTCTGTGTCACTAGCTGTGGGACGCTAGGCAGGAAGCCTAATCCCTCAGACTCTGCCTAGCGCGCTGCCAGTCAGCACGTGGAAAATCGCAGCAGCTCTGTAAATGGGGCTCTGTTCTTGGGTGTGTAACGTGCCCTTGTTAAGCTCGTTCTTCTCCAGAGATCAACGTTTATTTCCAGCAGAGGGAGACCCATCCACCTCAACCAAAAAGGCAGAGTTTACTGGCAGCCGTGTTACCCGAGTGTCATGATGAGTTATTCTGCCAGCCAAAGATTTCTGGGGGAAAGAAGCCACTCCGGGAGAACTATGCATTATCCTTTTGTAGAACCAGCATTTAGTTGTCCAGTATTTATAGGTTTATTGAGTTCCTTCTGCATGCTTGGCACAGTGTTTGGTACTTTAAAGATATACAAATTTGTATTGGAGGGGCCGGGGCTATGGCTCATTTGGTTAATCCTCTGCCTGTGGCGCTGACATCCCATATGGGCGCTGGATTCTGTCTCGGCTGCTCCTCTTCCAGTCCAGCTCTCTGCTGTGGCCCGGAAGGGCCGTGGAGAATGGCCCAGGGGCTTGGACTCCTGCACCTGCATGGGAGACCAGGAAGAAGCACCTGGCTCTTGGCTTCGTATCGGCGCAGCGCCAGCCGTAGCGGCCATTTGGGGAGTGAACCAACGGAAGGAAGACATTTCTTTTGTCTCTCTCTCACTGTCTATAACTCTACCTGTCAAATAAATAAATAAAAAGTTTTGTATTGGATGCAGTCCCTGCTTTCATTTAGTTTAAAAGTGGGGGAAAATATACAGAAGGTGTTCTTATCGAGAAGAATGTGAAAAGTGCCAGAAAAGAAAAAAGAACTTTAAAAAAGAAAAAAAATCTGGAAAAAAAAAGACAAAATCATGGATGTATAGAATAAAGAGGATTTTTTTTGCTTAGGGTGAAACAATAAGTTTCTGCCTTCAAAAAAGGTACTTTTGTACATTTTTTTTTAAGATTTATTTATTCAATTCCTGGAGAGTTATAGAGGGAGAAAGAGTGATCAGTTGCTCTTCCATCTGTTAGTTCACTCCCCAAATGTGTGCAATGGCCAGGGTTGGGCCAGAGCAAAGCCGGGAACCAGAAACTCTGAGGGTCCAATACTAGGGCCATCTTCACTGCCTTCCCTGGTGTATCAGCAGGGAGCTAGGTTGGAAGCAGAGCAGCTGGCACTTGGATATGGGGTGCTGGTGTCTCAAGCTGCAGTTTGACCTGCTGCACCAGAGTGCCAGCCCCTGTAACTTTGTTGAAGGAATAAATTAATGAGTAAATGTGTATCGTAATGGATAGGATTCCTTGGTTTCCAGTAACAGAAATCATTCAGATTACATTTTGTCGGAAAGATAGGGAAATGAGGGAGGAGTAAACAGATGGGCCACCCTGGGAACAGGGCTCACAGTGGCAGACCTCAAGTGTCAGACTCTTTGACAGTGAAGGCTGTGCACCAGGTGCCTGCTGCCCCTGTGTCTTACTCAAGATCCGGATTGCAGCAAGAAGTCTCCTGCTTTCAGCTTCTGTTGGGCTGAGCTTGGTATGTTGGGATTGGGAGCTCCACCAATACCCCATGAAACGCGGAAGGGTCAGTTCTCCAAAGAGGGCTAAAGAGAGAAGTGCTGCGGGGCAGAGAACCAATGGTTATTTATTGTGTTTACCACAGGCTTCTAAGGGCGGGGCACAGATGTGGTCATGACACCTAATTCTCACAGCAGGTTGGGAGGAAGATACTGCTGTATCCACTCTACAGAGGAGGAAACAGCCTTACAGACACAGAATGGTTTCTCAGCATTACAAAGCTAGGATGTGACAGAGCTGAATATGTCACACATCCTGTCCTTTTGAATTGTGTTCTGATCCGTGTGCTCCTTTGGTCTGTTCATAGAGGCTCATCAAGCTTCGGTGGACCTGTTGCCCAGTTCTGAGATCTTGAAGCTCTGCCCGGAGGAAGATTAAAGCAGCAGTCTTGGCCAAATAGGGGATGGACCGTTTGGGTTCCTTTAGCAGTAAGTACAGTGGGAACGAGTCTCCGGGGAATGTTAATGGCAAACTCAAGTTGAAGTTGATCAAGAAAGAAACATAAGCACTTGGAAGTTAGCCAATCCTAAAGAAATTAGGACAGTATCAAATAAAATCAGCCAGTATTTATTGACTGCCCACTGAACACATGATACAAACATACAAGCTTAGATCTTAGGAAAAAACAAAGCTAAAATAGACCAGGCATAGTCTGGTTATCCTGGAGTTAGACTTAAAGTAGTGGGATTTGTCTTTTGAACCTATAGCATCTTTTTTTTTTTTCTTTCTTTCTTTTTTTTTTTTTTCTTTTTGACAGGCTGAGTGGACAGTAAGAGAGAGAGACAGAGAGAAAGGTCTTCTTTTGCCGTTGGTTCACCCTCCAATGGCCACCGTGGCCGGCACACTGCGGCCGGCGCACCGCGCTGATCCGATGGCAGGAGCCAGGTGCTTATCCTGGTCTCCCATGTGGGTGCAGGGCCCAAGCACTTGGGCCATCCTCCACTGCACTCCCTGGCCACAGCAGAGAGCTGGCCTGGAAGAGGGGCAACCGGGACAGAATCCGGTGCCCCGACCGGGACTAGAACCCGGTGTGCCCGCGCCGCTAGGCGGAGGATTAGCCTAGTGAGCCGCGGCGCCGGCCCTCAGTCCACTCTTTGGCTTTACACATACAGAAGATCTAAATCCAGTGCTGGGAATATAAACTAAAATTGCAGTTTCCCGCACCTTTTATAAAATAATTGGTCAACTTATTTGGAAATAATCTCAGACTTATCAAAAGTTACCAGAGTAAGAATACAAAAGAGCAGTGGAGGATGGCCCAAGTGCTTGGGCCCTGCACCCCATGGGAGACCAGGAGAAGCACCTGGCTCCTGACTTCGGATCAGCACGGTGCGCTGGCCGCGGCAGCCATTGGAGGGTAAACCAACGGCAAAAAGAAGACCTTTCTGTCTGTCTCTCTCACTGTCCACTCTGCCTATAAAAAAAAAAGAATATAAAAGATATTTGCATACCATTTATTAAGCTTTCAGTCCATTTGCTTTTTTCATTGGTACTCACTCGCTCCCTCCACTGTAAGAATAGACACATATACCAAGTGTCTTTTCCAAATCACTTTGAGATAGGTGACATATATCATGGCCCTTTACCCTTAAGTACCTCAGTGTTTATTTCCTGAGAATTAACCTCAGCAGAATGATCACTTTTAGTAAATTCAATATTGAAGGGTTGGTGTTGTGGCAGAGCAGGTGTTAGCTTTTTATTGCCTCTGGATTTTGAATAATGGTTAAAATAAGAAAGCCTTTCTGTTCTAGGCTATAGAAAATTCTGGAATATCTTTTTAATTAAATTAGTTTGAAAGGCAGAGTGACAGAAAGGGAGGGTGAGAGAGAGAGAAAGAGATATCTTTCATCTGCTGGTTCACTCACCAGCACCCACAACGTCTGAGGTTGGGCCAGGCCAAGGCAAGGAGGCAGAAAGGCAATCCGGTCTCCCACGGGGTGGCAAGAACCCAAGTAACTGGGTCAGTTGATATGACCATTTAATTTGGGGTAGCAACATCACAGGTAGTTCCTGAATATTTTTTTTCCTGAATATCTTTTTGAAGAACAATTTGGCTGTTTATATCAGTATCAGAGAGCCTCAAAATCCTGCAACAGGGGCTGGCCTTGTGCTGCAGCAGGTTAAGCCTCCGTCTGCAATACCAGCATCTTATATGCGTTTTGGATCGAATTCTGTTTGTTCCACCTCTGATCCAGCTCTCTGCTAATGCTCTTGGGAAAACAACAGAAAATGGCACAAATATTTGGGCCCCTGTCACCTACATGGGAGACTGGGATGAAGGTCCTGGCTCCTAGCTTTGGCCTGGCCCAGCCCTGGCCATTGTAATCATTTGGGGAGTAACCCTGGGGATGAAGATGTCTTTCTTTCCCTCTCTCTCTTCTCTCTGTAACTCTTGCCTTTCAAATAAATGGTCTCTTAAAAATCCTGTAGCAGTCTTTTACACACTCAACAGTTCAAGAATGAGGAAAAAAATATATATATATCCTGAGGAATAAATGTGAGCTATTACATTCACATAGTTGTTAATCTCAACATTCTTTTTAAAAATGAAAAGTCAGAAACAAAATTAATGCTGACCAACCGAAAGGGAGCTGATTAGATTAATTGTTCTGAGCAATTGTTCTGAACCTGCTGATACCCATGGATTTCATAATTTTAAACCCCTTTTATCATTGAAAATGCAATACTTAGATAATACAAATATATCTACACATAGAATTTCAAAAAATAGAAATAATGCTCTAACTATAGGAAAGGCGATAAACCCAAATATACTTCAAAAAGTTTGTGGAAAAAAATGAAACCAAAAGGTACTTTTAGGGTAGGGCATTTGGCACAGTTGGTAAGACTCCACTTAGGGGGCCGGCGCTGTGGCTCGTTGGGTTAACGCCCTGGCCTGCAGTGCCAGCATCTTATATGGATCCTGTTGTAGTCCTGGCTGCTCCTCTTCTGATCCAGCTCCCTGCTATGGCCTGGGAAAGCAGTAGAAGATGGCCCAAGTCCTTGGGCCCCTGCACCCACGTGGGAGACCCAGAAGAAGCTCCTGGCTCCTGGCTTCGGATCAGCACAGCTCCGGCTGTTGAGGCCATCTGGGGAGTGAACCATCGGATGGAAGACCTCTCTCTCTCTCTCTCTCTCTCTCTCTCTCTCTGTAACTCTTTCAAAGAAATAAATAAGTATTAAAAAAAAAAAAAAAACTCCACTTAGGATGCCCACATCCCATATTGGTTCAAGTTTTGTCTCTACCCATCCTGGGAATCAGCACATGATGGCTTAAGTATATGGGTTCCTGCCATCTATGTGGGAGACTCAGATGGAGTTCTGGCCTCTGGCTCTGGCCTGACCCAGCTCTGGTTGCTGTGGATGTTTAGGGAATGAAGCAGCAGATGGAAGATCTCCGTCTATCTCTGCTTTTCAGATTTAAAATAAATAATAATTTTTATAAATATAAGTTGATTGAAATCCATGTGTTTTTTTTTCATAATTTGCATTTTCCATGAACTTTTTGAAGACTCCCAGATGCTTGGGCAGAAGATAGTTTTGCACCAAAATAAGCTCCTTTTTTTTTTTTTTAAGATTTGTTTGTTTATTTGAAAGTCAGAGTTACACAGAGAGAGAGAAGGAGAGACAGAGAGTGAGAGAGAGAGAGAGTCTTTCATCCACTGGTTCATTCCCCAACAGCTGGAGCTGTGCTGATCCAAACCCAGGAGCCAGGAGCTTCTTCCAGGTCTCATGGGTGCAGGGGCCCAAGGACTTGGACCATCTTCTGCTGCTTTTGCAGGTCATAGCACAGGGCTGGATTGGAAGTGGAGCAGCCGGGACTTGAACTGGTGCCCATATAGGATGCTGGCACTGCAGGTCTGGGCCTTAACCTGCTGTACCACAGCGCCGATGCCATTAAGCTCATATTTTAATTCCATTTCCCACAAACTTTTTGAAATACCCTAGTAAAGGTAAGTAATTTACAATGAAATGAAATATCTCAGTATGTTTACACTGAGAAGATTAAGTAGTCAGATGTTTGTACTTATGTTGAAACACTGCATCCTACAACTACAAAAACAGTGATTCAGGTGTATTATGTTGATTACTAAGACGTACCACAAGCACAATAACTCCTGGTTAAGTTCTGAGCAGAACAAAATAGTCTCTTCTAGAATTGTTTGGTTGCCTTACTGGAGATTTCAATGTATGTTAAGACTCAAATATCTTGCTTTATTATATTAATTCCTGGGTCATGTAATTTGAGGGTTTTCACCTCAAATTTGAATATTTGAAAGGACACAGGTCGCATTTTGTTGCATAGGAATGTCTTAAGTATTGCAAGATGCTGAGAATCCTTGGCCCCTGCCTGCAAAATGCCAGTAGTGCTCCCTAGTCATTGTGGCAACAAAAAAAAGTACATCCTTGGACTTCCACAATTTCTTTGTGGGCCCAGCGCTGTGACATAGTGGGTAAAGCTGCCGCCTGCAGTGCCAGCAATCCCATATGGGTGCTGGTTCGAGTCCTGGCTGCTCCACTTCCTATCCAGCTCTCTGCTTTGGCCTGGGAAAGCAGTAAAAGATGGCCCAAGTCCTTGGCCCCTGCACCTGCAAGGGAAGACGTGGGGGAAGCTTCTGGCTCCTGGCTTCGGATCAGCTCAGCTCTGGCCGTTGCGGCTATATGGGGAATGAACCAGTGGATGGAAGACCTCTCACTCTCTCTGCCTCTCTCTCTGCCCCTGCCTCTCTGTAACTCTGCCTTTCAAATAAATAAATAAATCTTTTAAAAAAATTTCTTAGTAGAGAGAAATTGAGAACCATTAGTTTAGATGATTGACACAATGTAATATTACCAGCCACTAAAAAGAATGAGAAAGATTTATGTGTATTGTCATGGAAAAAATACAGTATGTTTCCTTTTTTTTTTTTTTTTTAATTTACCTGTTGATTTGAAAAGAGAGCAAGGTCTTCCATCTGCTGATCACTCCCCAAAATGGCCACAGCAGCCAGGTCTGGACCAGGCCAAAAGCATGAGCTAAAATTTCCATCCATGTCTCCCACATAGGTGGCAGGGGCCCTAGCACTAGGGCCAGCTCCTGCTGCTTTACCAGGTGTATATAATAAGAAGCTGTAATCAGAAGTGGAGCAGCCAAGACTTGAACCGGCTCACCTATATATTCCAGCATCACAAACAGGACCTAACCTGCTATGCCACATGCTAGCCCTCTACAGTGTGTGTGTGTGTGTGTGTGTGTGTGTGTGTGTGTATATATTTTTTTTTTTTTTTTTTGACAGGCAGAGTGGACAGTGAGAGAGAGGGACAAAGAGAAAGGTCTTCCTTTTCCCGTTGGTTCACTCTCCAGTGGCCGCTGCGGCCGGCGCACCGCGCTGATCTGAAGGCAGGAGCCAGGTACTTATCCTGGTCTCCCATGGGGTGCAGGGCCCAAGCACTTGGGCCATCCTCCACTGCACTCCCTGGCCACAGCAGAGAGCTGGCCTGGAAGAGGTGCAACCGGGAGAGAATCCGGCGCCCCGACCGGGACTAGAACCCGGTGTGCCGGTGCCGCAAGGCGGAGTATTAGCCTAGTGAGCCACGGCGCCGGCCTACAGTATATTTTTAAGTGGGGGGAAAAAAGACTTTGAAACATATATAGTGTTGCGTGGACTTCAGGGAGGAAAATGCTGTTATGGAATCTGAGAATTCCTGCCTCAGGTTACCAAATACCTGTAAACCCTTACCTCCAAAGCCTTTGTTCTCTTAGATTCCTGCAGTTGATGACAGAGAATAGTTTTGCTGGGTTTCCCTTGGGGAGTCAGCCAGGGACACATTTGTCTGCATTGTCACTAGTTCAGAGTGTACTCCTTGCCTTGGTATTTCAGAGACATACCACTGTCACTGGGAGTGGGAGGTGGTCTGCTGTGTTCTGTGCTTCCCTTCAGGAAAGGGAGGGAGTTTTCCTGGGTTTAAATCCCAGCTCATGTGAAGTTTAAATCTGAAGATACACGCTTAAATGAGTTTTCTTTTTCCCTCCAACATTTTATTATGAAAAACTTCTAAACTTAAAGAAAAGTTGAAAGAAAGAACAGTGTGGTGATACTTATATGGCTGCTGCCTAGCTTCAGCACTTGTTACCGTTTTGTCAGATTTACTGTATGTATGTTTTGTGTAGGTATACTTTTGTGTGTGTGTGTGTATATACTTTTTCCCCTTGGAAAAGTAAGCTGTGGGTAACGTGAAATCTGCCATTTAAATCTTGGGTTTATAAATCTGTGTGTGTGGGCCGTATCTGCTTATGTGAGGTTTGAAATAACAAGTACAGTGTAGGTAGCAGCAAAGCTGCCCTGAAATACAAAGCAGCATACTTTTTTGCTGCTTATTTGGAATGAGTTCGTCTTATCTCTGTGAACCTTTCTGCACAGTTCAATGACTTGTGTGGTCCTTTGTGGTTTTTATCTTTTTGTAGTTAAGCTAACCATAGGTGTTTTGAAACAGTGTATTTGTTTTCTCTTTGTCCTAGATGATCCCTCTGATAAGCCACCCTGCAGAGGCTGCTCCTCCTACCTGATGGAGCCTTACATTAAGTGTGCTGAATGTGGGCCACCTCCTTTTTTCCTCTGCTTGCAGGTAACTCAGTCAAGAGAGGCTTGCCTCTCCTTGTCTGGTTTATGGGTGTAGTAATTCAGAGATTACTATCGATTGCTCATACATTGTTCAGTCCGTTCCTTCCAGTCAGTCTCGCGTTACACATTTTACCAGTGAAGAGCTAGGGAACAGAGCAAATAGATGAGGCAGCCTGTTGACGCTCTATCTCCAGCTTAAGCTGGTTTTGCAAGTAGATTCAAAGTACTGGAACTACGGGAGACAGAGCTGGCGGGTTGTTCCACTTAATGACACTGTTTATTGTCTTGTTGGAGAGTAACCTCTGTTCAGGTGAAAAAAAAGGGAACAAACTAATTAATTATAAGGGCTTACTGTGTGCCAATTAGTATTTTGAGTACTTTACGTGAATTAACCCTTCAATCACCACTATAAATCCTATGGAGTAAAGATGATCATTATCCCTGTTTTAAAGGAAAAGAAACTCAGGCAAAGAGAGTTCAGGTACTTGCTCAAGGTCACATGGCAAATAACCATGTCTGATCAGATGTAAAACATTATTGATTATAAGAAGCATCCATATTTTAGAAGTTGATGCATAAAAACAACTAAAGAAAGTTGTGAAATGTACAGAATTCTGATTTCAGAATTTTAAAATACGGGGGCTGGTGTTGTTGCACAGCATGTAAAGCCGCCAACTGCATGCATTGCAAGCATTCCATATGGGCTCTGGTTCATGTCCCTGCTGTTCCAGCTGTGATCCAGCTCCCTTCTAATGGCCTAGTAAAGCAGCTAGATAATGACCCAAGTACCTGGGCCCCTGCCACCCACGTGGGAGACCTGGAAGAAGTTCACAGCTCCTGGCTTCAGCCTGGCCCAGCCCTGGCCATTGTGAACTAGCAGATGGAATATCTCCCTTTCTCTGTCTCTCCCTCTCTGTAACTCTGGCTTTCAAAATAAATAAATCTTTAAAAAAATTATTTTTAAATACGAAAATAGTATTTGTCCTGGAATTGCTGCAATATGGTGAGTGTAGAGCCAGGGCTCGTGCTCTTCCTGAAGGTGGAGTTTTTCTCTTTGAGAGGCACTGAAAAGCTGTGATCATAGTGTACCATTCTCTTATGCCTTCAGACAAGATTAAATTAATTCTTAAAAACTCCACACAGTGTTCTCAACATGAAAATAATGTTAAATGCCTGGGGTGATGTATATGCCAGTTACCGTGATCTGAGCATTACAGTTTGTCTACAGGTATTGAAATTTCACACTGTACCCCATAGATTTGTTTAATTATTATGTATCAGTTAAAATTTTATTTATCTATTTTAAAGATGTATTATTTATTTATTTATTTGAAAGGCAGAATGACAAAGAGAGATTATTTCAACTACTGGTTTACTTTCAAAATGACTGCATCAGGCTGGCGCTGTGGCTCAGTTGGCTAATCATCCGCCTGCGGTGCCAGCACCCTGGGTTCTAGTCCCGGTTGGGGCGCCGGTTCTGTTCCGGCTGCTCCTCTTCCAGTCCAGCTCTCTGCTGTGGCCCCGGAGTGCAGTGGAGGATGGCCCAAGTGCTTGGGCCCTGCACCCGCATGGGAGACCAGGAGTAAGCACCTGGCTCCTGGCTTCGGATCGGTACAGCACACCGGCCGTGGTGGCCATTTGAGGGGTGAACCAACAGAAAAGGAAGATCTTTCTCTCTGTCTCTCTCTTTCTCTCACTGTCTAACTCTGCCTATCAAAAAAAAAAAAAAAATAAAAATTAAAAGAAAAAAATTGACTGCATCAGTTAGGGCTTGGCCAGGCTGAAGCCAGGAGCCTCAGACTCCACCCAGGTTTCTCATGTGGGTGACAGGGGCCCAAGTCCTAGGGCCAGCTTCCACTGCTTTCTAGGTGCATTAGCAGGGAGCTGATTGGAAGTAGAGCAGCCGGGATTCAAATCAGCACTCTGATCTGAAATTCTGGCATCAGAATTAACTTAATCTGCTTAACCTGCTGTGTCATAAATCCAGCCATTAAAAATATATTTTTTTAAAAAACCTATCACAAGGGTATCCAGAAACTGTCTTCTATCCTTTAAAAAGATATTTTTAAAGCAAGTTTTAGTAACTTAATTTTGCTTTCTTTGCAGTGTTTCACTCGAGGATTTGAGTACAAGAAACATCAAAGTGATCATACATATGAAATAATGGTAATGATGACGTTACTGGGAATTTCCAATCGTTTTTTAAGTATTAGTCTGGGAGTTATCGCCAAATATCTCTTTCCCTTTTTTTCCCTCCTCTTCTGGATTTCATAATCATTATCCAGTAAGTTTTATTGGGGTTTTATGGAGCTACTAAGGTATTTAAGTACAGTTAGACTTAACCACTCATTTTTGTTTTCAGTTTATAAGGTACTGAGGGACGTATTTTTCAGTATTGTCCAATGTGAGGTAAAGAGGTATGTTGCCCTGTATGTTGGTTGATACTCATCAACCCAGGGTACTGTCTGTCCAGTGTGTGCTGCCAGTGTGCTTCATGATGGTGGTGGTGTGTGGCATTCTATCCCTCCACTTTGGGGACATTAGTTATCCTTTGAGAGTTAAGTTATAAAATGAACAGAAGAGCAAATGAGTTAATACTGTGTGTAAAATCACTTTGAAGGGACAGACTGACTTATGGGTTGGAATAAGATATGACTATGATTGTTTATACTGCCACTTTTTGGGGGGAGTAAGGGGGTGGTATTCAATGTTTATTTTTAGGGTTGGTTTACTTTATTTTTTATTTATCTTTTTTAAAAAAACATTTTATTTATTTGAAAGAGTTACTGAGAGAGGTAGAGACAGAGACCGAGAGAGAGAGAGAGAGAGGTCTTCTATTCACTGGTTCACTCCTCAAATGGCTGCCACGGCCAGAGCTGCGCTGATCTGAAGCCAGGAGTCATGAGCTCCTTCCAGGTCTCCCACTTGGGTGCAGGGGCCCAAGGACTTAGGCCATCCTCTGCTGCTTTCCCAGATGCATTAGCAGGGAGCTGGATAGGAAGTAGAGTAGCCGGTACTCAAACCGGCACCCATATGGGTTGCCTTGTGCTGCAGGCCAAGGTTTTAACCCACTGCGCCACAGCATTGGCCCCTATATTTTATTGATTGATATATAAGAGAATAGATTTCATGAATTTCATAGATATGATTCCAAGAATGCATTGATACTTTCCTCCCTCCCTCCTTTTTCCTTTCTTTTCTTTTTTTTTTTTTTTTTGAATTTTTGTGATAACATACTTTGAATTTATCTTATAATTTAATTACAGGCTTAATGCTACTCTAAACAATGGGCTCTACAAGTAAAAGATAGATCACTGTTCCACAGGGGTATAGATTAGGGTTATATACAGCAGTCAAATCACAAGATGTCAGTTTAGCTCAAATACATCATTTGGTTTTCTTTTCCTTTTCTTTTCTTTCCTTTTCTTTTCTTTCCTTTCCTTTCCTTTCCTTTTCTTTTCTTTTCTTTTCTTTTCTTTTCTTTTCTTTTCTTTTCTTTTCTTTTCTTTTCTTTTCTTTTCTTTTCTTTTCTTTTCTTTTCTTTTCTTTTCTTTTCTTTTCTTGCCCTGCCCTGCCCTGCCCTGCCCTGCCCTGCCCTGCCCTGCCCTGCCTTTTTTCTATATATTTTAGTTATATATATGTATATATCTATATATATATTTAATTAGAACCAACCAGAGAAAACATGATTTCCATCTTTTTGGGGTCTGGCTTATTTCACTAAGCATAATGGTTTCCAGTTGCATCCATTTGTTGCAAAAGACAGGATTTCATTCTTTTTTATGGTTGAGTAGTATTCCGTCATGTATATGTACCCCATTTTCTTCATCTGGTTATCAGTTGATGGACATCTAGGTTGATTCCTGTGCTGCCACCTTTAAACCTTTAAAGAGAGAGTGAAAGGGCTGCTGTCCTTCCCTGCCCTGACCAGGGAGGAGAAGGGGTGGTTTAATTAGCTAGAGTGAATATCTGGTCTACTCGACAGCCATGTAGATACACCTTTGTCAACATGGTTTTGTCAGTTAGCACAGCACAGTAAATATGTAGCTAAATCTCCTAACTCACCAAGCAGTTTTCTGATATTTGGCTCCATGTAATCTTTCTGAAAGGAAAGAATGCTGGCTGATATGGCAGTAATAATTTCACATTGCAGATTACTCATTTGGCACTCTCTTAGTTTTCTGTGGGTGTTGTAACAAATTATCAAATATTAAGTGGCCTAAGACAGCTCAAATTTATGATCTCACAGATCTGTAGGTCATTTTAAAGTATTTTTATTTATTTGAAAGGCAGAGCAACAGAGATAGATTTTTTTATCAGCTGTTTCATTCCCCAAATGCCTACAACAACTGGGCCAGGCCAAAGCCACGAGGCAGGAACTCCATCCAAGTCTCCCACATGGGTGGCATAGACCCAGCTACTTCTACTGAAGGTGCATGCTAGGAGGAAGCTATATCGGAAGCAGAGTTCAGACTCAATCCCAGTCACTCCAGTATGTGGTTTAGTCCGCTGCACCACAGTACCTAGCCTGCAGTTCTGTAGGTCAGATGACTGTTAGCCTCAGCCTAGTTGCCCTGTGTCCCATGAGACTGAAATGAAGGTATTGACTGCCCTGGGCTCTTATCTGGAGGCCTGGGGGAGAATCCACTTACAGGCTTTTTCAGATTGTTGGCAGAATTCACTGCCTTGAAGTTGTAGAAATGACACCTGCTGTTCCTTACTGGCTGTTGGCCAGGGCTTGTTCTCTGGCTTCTAGAGGCTACCTACATTTCCTGGCTCTTGGCTCCTTTTCTGTATCCTCAAAGCCAACAATGCAAAGTCCTTGAGGATTGTTAATGAAATGCTTGGAATCTCTGTGATCTGTCTTGCCTCATCTCTCCCATGCTGAATCTCTCCAGTCCTTTTACCTTCCTCTTCTACTTCAAAGGCCCCTAGTAAGGCCCCTTGTGATTACACTGGGCCCACTTAGGATCAGCTCACTCCTTTGTCAGCTGATCAGTAACCTTAATTCTGTCTGCAAAGTCCCTTAACAGCAGTACTTCCTTTGTGTTTGGATAATCAGGGGTCAAGAATCTTGGGAGGAGGTGGGGACACTTTTAGAATTCTGCCTACAATAGCACTGTTGCTATTTACTTTGGTGTCTTGAAAGTCCAGGAGGAGTGAAATCAGCAACTTTCTGAATCAGCTTGAACATTTTTTGGATCCTATTAAAACTGTTTCTAGACCTATAATACTGAAAGATTTTAGACCATAATGAAGTAATAGAAAATAGGTACTTTGTAAGAGTTCTTTGGAACTAACTGATTAGCCTTTCCCAGCACTCCTGTGAGTCCTTTTGGTCTATTTTTAAAGAAATTTTTTCGTTTATGTTAGAGGCAGAGAGAGTGAGGTCTCATTCACTGGTTCACTCCTCAAATGCCTGTGATGGCTATGACTGGCCAGGCCTAAGCTGGGAGTTGGGAACTCAGTTGACGTCTCCCACCTGGGTGGCAGGAACTCAGTTACTTGAGCCGTCACTGCTGCTTCCCAGGGTCTGCATTAAGTATTCCAGAGTCAGGAGCCAGGGCTGGGAATCACATCCAAGCATTCTGACATGAGACACAGCTTTGTAACCCCTAGGCTAAACATCTGTCTCCCTTTTTCTTTTAAGTAATGTTTTCACTAATTATAAGACTTGAAGGGGGAACGGCACTGTGGTGTACTGGGCTAAATCTCTACCTGCGTTGCTAGAATCCCATTTCAGTGCCAATTCTTGTCCCGGCTGCTCCTCTTCCGATCCCCCTCTGCTATTGGCCTGGGAAAGCAGTAGAAGATGGCTCAAGTGCTTGGGCCCCTGTAGCCGTTACTGGAGGGAAGGCTATGGTGGAAGCCGTGGGGTTCTTGTCTTCACGCAAGAAAGAATTGAGGCATGAGACAGAGAGCAGAGTGTTAAGGCTTTACTGGGGACAGGGCATCCATGAGAATGGAAAGGACAGATAGAAAGAGCACCCAGTTGCTCGGAGGACCGGGGAAGAGCGAGGTTACATGGTTGAATGGAGAGAAGGAAGGAAGGAGGGAGGGAAGAAGAGAAGGAGGGAGAGCAGGAGGGCGGGCAGGCCAGGCAGGTGGCTCAGTAGAGAGGCAGAGAGCTGAGGACACAGTCTGCTTGGACTCCCTAAGTTTTTAAGGGAGTCTGTTTACCCACTGCTCCCTCTCCTCCAGGACAAAGGATGGAGAGTCCTGGTGAAAGGGTTTGTTGGCTGAAAATTAGCAAATTCCTCCCCAGATGTGCTGGCAGCCAAGGGCAGAGTGGAGGGGCTTCCCTTGAGTAGGGGGGCTTCCCTTAGGGCATCTGAGAAGGTTTTATTGCCCCATGTTATCAGGTCCTGAGGAGAGAGAATTCTTCTGGGAGCTTTCCTTGGAGGAAGGACTGGGCCCACCTGGGAGGTTATCAGGGTCTGGGCAGGACTTTGCAGGGCAAGATGCTGGGCTTCAGGCCTTTCTCATACACACATGGCCTCAATATCAATATCTGACTTCCTACCTAACACACCCACATGGGAGACCTGGAAGAAACTTCTGATTCCTGGCTTCTGATCAGCTCAGCTCCAGCGGTTGCTGCCATCTGGGGTGTGAACCAGCAATTGGAGTACCTTTCTCTCTGTTTCTCCCTCTCTCTGTAACTCTGCCTCTTGAATAAATGAATAAAATCTTAAAAAAAAAAAAAAAAAGACTTGAAGGGGCCAGCATTGTGACACAACAGTTTAGGCTGCTACCTACAGTGCCAGCATCCCATATGGATACTGGTTCAGGAGTCCCAGTTGCTGCACTTCTGATCCAGCTCCCTGCTAATGCTCCTGGGAGAGCAATGCAATGGAAGATGGCCCAGGTGCTTGGGCTCCCGCACCCATGTGGGAGACCCTGATGAAGGCTCCTGGCTCCTGGCTTTGGCCTGGCCTAGACTGGGCAGTTGCAGCCACTTGGAGAGTGAACCCTGGATAGGAGATCTCTCTCTCTCCCCTTCTCTCGCTGCAGCTCTGCCTTTCAAATAAATAAAATAAATGTTTTTTTAAAAAAGGACTTAATGAAAATTTTTCCCTTTTTTAAATTGCAAAATGAATGAAGGATTGGAAAGTTGTGTTCAGAGTAGCTGTGACCAAGTTTATTTCACCAGAGTTATCAGATCTTCAGAGAACTTATTCTTCCCAAACTCACACAAGAAGGCCTGGAGCCAGAATACAAATTTATTCATTTAAATAGTGAAATAATTCCTTAAAGAGATCATTCAGTGTGGTATGGGTGGGTTGATACACATCCTTATCAATTGTGGGGAAGCTTACCAGGAGTTGATTGAGCTATTCTGTCTTCTGCATGAGCAGACACATTTAAGAGTTCTTTTACTTTGGGAGCTTCGGTGGGCTACTCATACTCTTTGTGAGCAATCTTATCTGTCCCCAGAGAATGTTTCCTTCTGTAGGAATGATGACCAAATTTTGACTTTCTATACATGAAACCACTAAAAACTCAATTTTTTGCATATGAAGCTTCATAACTTTAAATGGTTTTTAGTACTTTTATCATCTCCCAGTGCTGTATTTTTGGGAGTTACTCATGCTGTGGTGGGTGGTGCATTAATCAAGATTTCTGAGTTCTGTTTCTATTTTTTGTCTTGTAATTCTTAGAACCTTGAACAACTGAAGGCAGCTCTTTCTGTCACACCCTTTATCCCAGTGATTCTTAAATTTTAGTGCATAAGAATCACTGGGGAGCCTCTTAGAAATGTAAATTTGTAGACCCTGCTGTTAGATTCTGGCTCCTCTGGGCTGAGGTTGGGCCAGGAGTTGAATAACATTGATTCAACTTAAGAAGAACTGCCTCATGCCTTTTGAGTGTGTGTGCACTATGGAAAATTTTTATTGTTTATCTACAGCAAAGTTGGTGAAGGGTAATTATTATTCTAAAATACAGTTTTAGGAATAACATAGGCTCTTCAGCTAATGTATGAGTTGTCGTGTTTATGTGTCTATATGATGCTTGCCAGATTGAGAGTGGTTATTATGCACTGAATACAAATATAGACCCTGAAATTGTTCTCTTGGATCTCATAATATCTTATGCACTAGGCATATCCATAGTACATGCTTAGATAAAAATGTATTGCTTATTAATGGTATAATTTTACAAATCGTGACAGTTGTTTTAAAGATGTATTTATTTTATTTGAAAGAGTAGAGAGATTTTCCATCTGCTGGTTCACTTCCCCAAATGGGCTGGTGGGGGATGCTGGGACCCAAGCACTTGGGCCATCTTCTGCTGCTTTCCTAGGCTCATTAGCAGTTAGCAGGGAGCTGGATCGGAATTGGAGCAACCAGTACTGGAACTGGCTTCCAGTGTGGAATGCCAGTATCTCAGGTGGCAGCCTAACTTGTGTATCACAACACCAGCCTATAAGTTTGTTGTTGTTGCTGTTACTGACAAAAGATGTAATAATCAATGTAACTTTCTTTTCTTTAACTTTGTATTATAAAAGTTTCAAACATTAAAAAGACTGGTGTTCAATTATCCACTGCTGTAAACAGCCATCCTATAACAACTTGGATTAAAATAACCATTTTGGGGCCGGCGCTGTGGCACAGTTGGTTAATCCTCCATCCCAGTTCGAGTCCCGGCTGCTCTGCTTCCATTTAAAAAAAAAAAAAAAAACAAAACATTTATTTATTTATTTGAAAGAGTTACACAGAGATAGGAGAGGCAGAGAGAGAGAGAGGTTTTCTATCCAATGGATCACTCCCCAGTTGGCCGCAATAGGCGGAGCTGTGCTGATCCAAAGCCAGGAGCCAGGAGCCAGGAGCTTCCTGCAGGTTAGAAGCTGCCGTGTCTTTGTAAGCAAATCACAGGTCAAGCCCATATCAAGTGAGAAGGTATGGGGGCTGGTGCTGTGGCGCAGCAGGTTAAAGCATATGGGATGCCAGCGCTTCAGGCCATGGGCATCGGTTCTAGTCCCGGCTGCTCCTCTTCCGATCCAGCTCTCTGCTGTGGCCTAGGAGAGCAGTGGAACATCGGCCAAGTCCTTGGGCTCCTGTACCCATGTGGGAAACCTGGAAGAAGCTCCTGGCTCCTGGCTTCAGATCGGTGAAGCTCCAGCCATTGTGGCCATCTGGGGAGTAAACCAGTGGATGGAAGACCTCTCTCTCTGTCTCTAAAAAAAAAAAAAGTGAGAAGGTATGAATTCTAGAAGTTCATTTGGGGGCTATGCACTGTAACTACCTATATACATGGTGTAATAAAATTTCCATATTCCAGTCACTGGCTCTTAAAATGATCTCATATGTTCGCCAGTTCAAGCCCGGTTTCTTCACTTCCAATCCAGCTCCCTGCTAATGCACCTGGGAAAGTAGCAAAGGATGGCTCAGGTGCTTGGGCCCTGCACCCATGTGAGGGACCTGGAAGAAGTTCCTGGTTCCTGGCTTTGGACCAACACAGTAGTTGCAGCCATCTGGGGAGTGAATCAGCAGATGGAAAACCTCTCTCTGTGTATATAATTCTACCTTTCAAATAAATAAAATACATCTTAAGAAAAAAAAAAAAACAAAGTGTGGGTATTTGGTGCATTGGTTAAGATGCTGCTTGATGGGGCCAGTGCTGTGGCGTAGCGAGTAAAGAAGCTGCCGCCTTTAGTGCCAGTATGCCATAAGGGCACCAGTTCGAGTCCCAGCTGCTCCACTTCCGATCCAGCTCTCTGCTATGGCCTGGGAAAGCAGTAGAAGATGGCCCAAACCCTTGGGCCCCTGCACCCACATGGGAGACCTGGAAGAAGCTCCTGGCTCTTGGCTTTGGATCAGCGCAGCCCCAGCTGTTGCAGCCAGTTGGGAAGTGAACCAGCAGATGGAAGACCTTTCTCTCTTTGCCTCTCCTTCTTCTGTGTAAATCTGACTTTCAAATAAATAAATCTTCTTAAAAAATAAAAATGATGCTGCTTGGAATGCCTGCATCCTATTGGAATGGCATGCTCAAGTCACAGGTCTGGTCTGCTTTTTTTTTTTTTTTTTTTTGAAAACTATTTTTTTGAAAAGTAAAACAATAAAGAGAGGGAGTGAGAGAGATTGAGAGATCTTCCATCTTTTGCTTCACTTTCCACATGACTACAGCAGCCATGTCTGGACCAGGATTCAGGAACTCCATCCTGTTCTATGTGGGTGACAGAGTCTCAAGTATGTGGACCATCATCCACTGCCTTCCCAGATGCTTTAGCAGGAAGCTGGTTTGGAAGCGGAGCGGCAGGGACTTGAGTTGGTCCTTCTGTATGGGTTGCTGGACACAACACCATCCCCAACTGATTCCAACTTCCTGCTAATGCACACCCTGGGAGGCAGCAGGTGGGAGTCCCTGCCAACCACTTGGAAGACCTGGGTGGAGTGCCAGGCTCCTGTTGTTGACATTTGGGCATGAACCAGTTATCTCTTTCTCTGCCTCTCAGATAAAGAAAGATGTAAGACATGCACAGGGCAAGGCACATGGGAAGGGGCATGGCGTGGAACTTCCATGTCCTCTCTGGGCACACCACCCTTCAGGTGCCTCCATGTGTTCAATAATGTGCAAGCTTCTCTCTGGTTTCTCTTAATTTATTTAACTTTGAAAAACTGGGTTGTATGTCTTATAGAGATTAGTATGATCTGTATTTTGTTGAGAAACATGTTTCTCTGTTATCTGTGTTTCCTATAAATTGATATTTATGTTTAGTAACTACACTGAATTAATTTATTATCGTTGTCTATATCTGTTAACTGATAAAGGATGGCAAAATAGTGATTTTTAAGTCTATAGTTCCTTTTAATTTTTTTTCCGAATAATTCCATAAAAAGAAACATTATTATCTGTGTGGTCAACCAAAGGAAATTTTGTGTCAGAAAAACAGGATAAGTGCTGATTATTTCCTTTTTTTGAAGATTTTTTTCTTTATTTATTTAAAGATTTATTTATTTTACTGAAAGAGTTACACAGAAAGAAAAGGAAAGGCAGAGAGAGAGGGTGGGGGGGTCTTCCATCCACTGGTTCACTCCCTAGATGGCCACAACAGCCAGAGCTGAGCCGATCCAAAGCCAGAAGGTGGCTTTATCCACTTTACCACAGTGCCAGCCCCCAACCTCATTGATCTTACATCTATATCTCTTCATTTTCCCAAGCCCCAAATCCTACTTTCCAGTGATATCAGTGTAATGACTTAATTTGATTTACTTCATAACTTACATGCAGTAATCTCAGAGTAACTGCAACTGCATTAAAGAAAATAATCTCGGGGCTGGCTCTGTGGTATATCAGGATAAGCTGCCACCTGCTGAGCCAGCATCCCATATGGGCACCTGTTGAAGTCCCCCCCAGCTGCTCTACTTCCAATCCAGCTCCCTGGTAATAAGCCTGGGAAAGAAGCAGAGGGTGGCCCAAATCTTGGGCCCCTGCACCCAAATGGGAGACCTGAAAGAAATACCTGGCTCCTGGCCTTGGCCTGGCCCAGCCTTGGTCGTTCCAACCATTTGGGGAGTGAACCCCTCCCTCTTCCTATTCTCTTCCTCCCTCCCTCCTTCTCTCTCTCTGTAACTCTGCCTTTCAAATAAAATGAATCTTTAAAAGAATTTTTTTAAATAAAATAAGATTATTTTTAGTAATTCTTTTGTTTTTGATTTTTTTCAAGATTCATTTATTTAGGAGACAGAGACAGGAAGAGAGGGATCTACCATCTACTGGTTCACTTCACAGGTGGTTGTAACAGCTAGGGCTAAACCATGCTGAAGCCAGGAGCTTCATCCAGGCTTCCCACATTAGCCATCTTCCGCTGATTTCCTAGGCCATTAGCAGGAAGCTGGATAGGAAATGGAGCAGCCAGGACATGAACTGGCACCCATATGGGATGTTGGCGCTGCAGGCAGCAGCCTTACCTGCTACGCCACAGCACCGGCCCATATAATATTTATTAAAGACTCTTACAGCTAATGGTGAAAATAGGAGTGGGAGAAGTAGACAGCTAATGAGAATATACTTTGGGTGTCTTTTTATACCATGAGAATGGCAGTCATTAGCCATGAACTAGTATTGTGTTGGGATCCCTGGGTTCCATTTCTATCTCTGTTCTTAGGCAACATTTTTTCTCCTTAGACCTCAGACTTTCCTGTTCTTGACCCCAGCTGGACTGCTCAAGAAGAAATGGCCCTTCTGGAAGCCGTGATGGACTGTGGCTTTGGAAATTGGTAAGACTTGGTGGTAAGAGTTGTTCTGCCCTAGTGCTCAGAGAGGTGGCTGCTGTTAAGGACAAAGTGAAGAGCTTCAAAATGAGAAAATGTCAGCAGCTTTCCTGTTGACCCAGCTACGACACCACAGTGCCAGCCCCCACCTCTTTTTTTTTTTTTTTTAAGATTTATTTATTTATTTATTTGAAAGGCAAAGTTAGAGAGGGAGAGGGAGAGACAGAGAAATCTTCCATCAGCTGGTTCACTCCTGAAATGGCCGTTAACAGCTGGAGCTGGGCCAGACCAAAGCCTGGAGCATCCTCTGCGTCTCCCACGTGGGTGCAGGGGCCTAAGATTTAGACCCTCTGCTGCTTTCCCATGCTCATTAGCAGGGAGCTAGATCAAAAGTGGAGCAGCCAGAAATTTAACTGACACCCATATGGGATGGCTGCAGGTGGTACCTTTACCGGCTAAGTCACAGCGCCAGTCCCTCCTCTCTCCTTCTAAGCAAAGATCACAAAGAAGACTTGCTTCTTGGTGGTGGGGGCACTAGAGCTAGGAATTAAGAAATGCATCCTGGTGCCAGCACTGTGGCATAGCAGGTTAAGCCATGGCCTGCAGTGCTGGCATCCCACATGGGTGCCAGTTCTAATCCCGGCTGCTCCACTACAGACCCAGCTTCCTGCTAATGCACCTGGGAGAACAGCACAGGATGGTCCAAGTGCTTGGGTCTCTGTACCCACATTGGAGACCTGGAAGAAGCTCCAGGTTCCTGGTTTCAGCTTGGTACCAACCAAGTTGTTGCAACCATCTGGGGAGTAAATTAGCAAATAGAGTTTCTCTTTGTGTCTCTCCTTCTCTTGCTGTATAGTTCTTTCAAACAGATAGATAGATAGATCTATTCATCCGTCCTGCCCTCAAGAAGCTGATAGCTTAGTAGGGCATCAGAACTATGTATACAAGTGATTTAAGTACACAGAATAGCGAGTAGTGAAGCCTTAGGAGGGAGGACCAGGGATGTAGTGCTGTAGACAGGAGGGCTTCTGCCTGTCCACCACCTGGCCTAGGAGGCAGGAAGCTTGAGTGTAGAATCTGGGTTTGTCACTTACAAGCTTTATGTTCTTGAGTAAGTTTATTAATGTTTTTGTACTACATTTTTGTCTCCTATGGAATTGAAATACTAAAAATATCCACACTGTACCATCAATCCTATGATTGACTTAATTTATATTGTGAGTGTTTCTAGCTCTGCCTGGCAGATTGGAGGAGTTCTAGAGATGAAATGTTTGTTCATGAAAAATGTTTTATAACCTATAAACCATTATACAGGAATAAAATTAGTATAGTGCGATGTTTACTGTTCTAAGGTAGTTTCTTATCATTTATAGCAATTCTTTCCCTGAGGTCTGGGTCACAGAGAAATCCACAGATTTTCTAGTCATCTTCCTTTCTTTTGGCCAGAGCTGGGCTGATCTGAAGCCAGGAGCCAGGAGCTTTCTCCAGGTCTCCCATGTGGGTAAAGGGCCCAAGCACTTGGGCCATCCTCCACTGCTTTCCCAGGCACACTAGTAGGGAGTTGGATCAGAAGCGGAGCAGCCAGGACTTAAACCAGCACCCATATGGGATGCTGGTGCTGCCGTAGGCAGTGGCAGTACCCACTATGCCCCAGGAAAGGACTTTTTAGTTATTGTTTCTATATCTTGGAATACAAAATTTGGAACATGAGATTATACCAATATGAGACTTATATTTGTCTCATTCTTCTGTGGATATCTTTGTTACATTAGTTTGGAGTTATCAAATTACAGACATCTTATGCCTGTGACTTAAAATATCAAGAACAAACCACTTTGACAGTTATGTATGAATGAAAGTATTGCTTCCTTCTCTCCTTTCTAAAGGCAAGATGTTGCCAATCAGATGTGCACCAAGACGAAGGAAGAGTGTGAGAAGCACTATATGAAGCATTTCATCAATAACCCTCTGTTTGCATCTACCCTGCTAAACCTGAAACAAGCAGAGGAGGCAAAAACTGCTGACACGGCCATTCCATTTCACTGTAAGTGCCTCCCTGGTTTGGTAAGAGATGCTTAGCACATTGCTGGGCCCTGTATGAACAGTGATTGGAACAGTTAAAGAGTATGTGGAATAAAGGGGGAGTTGGCATGGGAGCTCTTGAGTCAGGGTTATAATGTGGCAGAGAGGGACTGGTGCTGTGGCACAGTGGGTTAAGCTGCCGTCTGTAGTGCCGTCATCCCATGTGGGCAGCAGTTCTAATCCCAGCTACTCCACTTCTCATCCAGCTCCCTACTAATGTCTTTGGGAAGCAGTGAAAGATGACCCAGGTCCCTGGGACCCTGTACCTACATGGGAGAAGACCTGGAAGAAGCTCCTGGTTCCTGGCTTCAGCCTTCAGACTGGCACATCCCTGACCTTTGGAGCCATTTGGGGAGTGAACCAGTAGATGGAAAATTTCTCTCTCTCTGTCACTTGTTCTCCCTCTCTGTAATTCTGCCTTTCAAATAAATAAACCTAAAAAAATGCCTATAATGTGGCAAAGAAGGAACATCTCTCAGGGGTCAGAGTTCTTACTGGACATCTGGGAACCCGAAACCACTGTGTAGTTGGGCCCTCTCTGAGTCTCTTGAACATAGCAATTAATTTTAGTGCTTGCTTCTGTAAGATGAGATGTGAAAAAGGGACCAACCTTTCCATGCTGTGGTGAGTAGAAGCCTTTAGCAATCCCTTTGGAGGGTTTATTATCTTTTTTTTTTTTTTTTAAGATTTTATTTATTTATTTGAGAGGTAGAGATACAGATAGTGAGAGTTAGAGACAGAGAGAAAGGTCTTCCCTTCGTTGGTTCACTCCCCAAAAGACTGCAACAGCTGAAGCTGTGCCAGTCCAAAGTCGGGAGCCAGGAGTTTCTTCCGGGTCTCCCACATGGGTACAGGGGCCCAAGGACTTGGGCCATCTTCTACTGCTTTCCCAGGCCATAGCAGAGAGCTGGATCAGAAGAGGAGCAGCCAGGATTAGAACCGGCGCCCCTATGGGATGCTGGTGCTGCAGGCAGAGGATTAACCTACGGTGCCATGACGCCAGCCCCTATCTTTTTTATTTTTATTTTTTTTAAGATTTATTTATTTTGCTGGTGCCACGGTTCACTAGGCTAATCCTCCACCTGGGGCGCTGGTTCTGTGCCGGTTGCTCCTCTTCCAGTCCAGCTCTCTGCTGTGGTCCAGGAGTGCAGTGGAGGATGGCCCAAGTCCTTGGGCCCTGCACCTGCATGGGAGACCAGGAAGAAGCACCTGGCTCCTGGCTTCGGATCGGCGCAGGTAGTGGCCACTTGCGGGGTGAACCAACGGAAAAAGGGAGATCTTTCTCTTTGTCTCTCTCTCTCTCTCTGTCTAACTCTGCCTGTCCAAAAAAAGGATTTATTTATTTTATTTGAAAGGCAGAGTTACAGAGAAGCAGAGGCAGAGAGAGAGAAAGGTCTTCCATCCACTGATTCACTCCCCAAATGGCTGCAGCTCCCAATGGTGTGCCAATCCAAAGCCAGGAGCCAGGAGCTTCTTCCAAGTCTCCCACATGGGTGCAGGTGCCCAAGGACTTGGGCCATCTTCTGCTTTCCCAGGCCATAGCAGAGAGCTGGATTGGAAGTGGAGCAGCCCAGACTCGAACCAGCATTCATTTGGGATGCCAGCATTGCAGGCGGTGGCTCTAACCTCTATGCCACAATGCCAGCCCCGAGTTTATCATCTTAAATGAGTTGCTTAGAGAGTCTAGTGCTTGGGTGATTACTAATTGCCTTAGTGTCAAGTTCAAGGAGCAGTTTATCATTTTTGTTCACTTGGTTTTAGCAATGATGTCAGACTTTTAATCTCACAGACCTGTGGGACTAGTGGGTCTTTATAAACCATCTCAAAACATGATGAATTACAAATGTGCATCTTTCCTGAATGACTCCCAGAGCACAAGTCATGAGATATGAATGTTTTCACGTCTCCCTTCCCTTCCTCAGACTCCATAGACTTAGTTGTGTACCTGGCTAGCTCAGAGGCAGAGGATACTGCCTACTTGGATAGCACTCTTCTCAAATCTATTGGGCCATTTGTTCCCAGCTACAGCCCAGTGAGATGACCAGGGCAAGTGTTTTCGTTTTACACAGGAAAAATTCAGATTCAGAATGATTAAATAATTTGTGCAAGATCATGGTACTGTTGGGTGGCAGAGCTGGTACTCCATTCCAGCCAACCTCCAGATCAAGTGGGTTTTTTGGCTTCTCAGTTGATGAGGCTCTTAAATTGAGATTGGCACCAAGGGGTAAGGGATCTGAAGCTGACAAGGATCTTGTGTCCATTCATTTTAGGAAAGTAGAATCAGAGGAAGTTTTCCCATTTTTATTCAGAGGGTTCCGTAAGTCCTATTTCCTAGTCTGAGGAATCAGCTAGTTTCCATAGTGCTTTATTATCTTTTTCATTTTTCCCTTTATTTTTTTAATTTATTTATTCTCTCAGATACTGTCTTTGTCCATACAAAAGTGTCTCAGAGTGTAAATAAGGACTGTTTTGTGTCACTTCTTCCTGTCAGTACTCTGTTAGTCAATGAGACAAACTCTGAATCTTCCAGCTGCAGATGACCCGCCTCGACCCACCTTTGACTCCTTGCTTTCTCGGGACATGGCAGGATACATGCCAGCTCGAGCAGATTTCATTGAGGTAGGAAACGCCTGGTTTTGTTTTTGATGTGTGCTGGAGCTCTTGCCTATGGAATCCATACCGCCTGAAAGAGATGTGTAAAACAGTTCATTTGTCAAGCTCTTAGGAAGACACAGTTTCTTCCATTTGAGTTCTTTTTCTCATTTGTAAACATTTGCACTAGTAGAACAGTAAAAGTTTTAAATTGTATTGGTTCTGGCTCATTGTTCCTTTGAATGTATGGAGTTTTCTGCAGTATTTCTCATGTCATACTAGCAGGTTTCAAGGTTGTACTGTATTAGGAGTTGGCAAACTTTTCCTATTATAGGCCAGATAGTAAATATTTTAGGTTTTTCAGGTCTTAGTTTCCGTTGCAACTGAACTTTGCTGTCACTGTGCATAAGCAGTGTGGATAATATTGTGTTCCAGTAAACTTTATATGTGGCCAGTGCTGTGGCTCACTTGGCTAATCCTCCGCCTGCGGCGCCGGCACCCCCGGTTCTAGTCCCGGTTGGGGCGCCAGGTACTAGTCCCGGTTGCTCCTCTTCCAGTTCAGCTCTCTGCTGTGGGCCGGGAGGGCAGTGGAGGATGGCCCAAGTGCTTGGGTCCCTGCACCCACATGGGAGACCGGGAAGAACCTGGCTCCTGGCTTCAGATCGGCGCAGCTCCGGCTGTGGCAGCCATTAGGGGGGTGAACCAACAGAAGGAAGATCTTTCTCTCTGTCTTTATTTCACTGTCTATAACTCTCTCTCTCTCTCTCTCTCTCTCTCTCTCTCACTGTCTAACTCTGCCTGTCAAAAAGAAAAAAGAAAAAAAAACTTTATATGTAAAAAGAGGTAATGAGCTGCATAGTAGTTTGCTGACTCCTACTCTGCATACACAATAGTGAATATGTATAAAACTGCCTGTTCTTCCAGCCGTGGAATTAAAAATCATGCGAATATAGTCACAAATCTTGATTTATCATCTAATCCAATCCACAACTGCAATGTTCCTGGAAATAACTTCAGAGTTTAACAGTTTTGCTGGCCACATACACAAGTCAGTATTTTGTTCATGGAAAGTGATATCAGGACTGTACCATAGACACTGACCTCATGAACTCTACTTATTAAAGAGAATATGAGGGGCCAGTGCTGTGGTGTAACGGGTTAAGCTGCCATCTGCAGTGCCTACATTCCGTATGGGTGCCAGTTCTACTCCTGAATGCTCTGCTTCCTATCCAGCACCCTTCTAATGTGCCTGGGAAAGCAGCAGAAGATGATGCAAGTGCTCGAGTTCCTGCACCGGCGTGGGAGACCCAGAAGCAGCTCCAGCTCCTGGCTTAGGCCTGGCCCAGCCCTTGCCGTTGTAGCCATTTGGAAAGTAAACCACCAAAAGGATGATCTTTCTCTCTATATATGTGTATCTCCCTCCCTCTCCCTCCCTCTCTCTCTCTCTCTCTCTCTGTGTGTGTGTGTGTGTGTGTGTGTGTAACTCTGCCTTTCAAATAAGTAAAATAAATCTTTAAAAAAGGATGTGAACGGACATACCTGTTGAATTATATAAACAATGTTATTCACTACGGCTCTCAGATAATACAAAATAAATGAAATTGTGCAAACTTCTTACCTAAACACTTGTAGGCCAAAATAAAGGTTAGATTATCTTGGAAATGAGCAGACTGTTTTTAATTTTTAGAGCAATAAGTTTCACTTCTTTCTTGAATTTATAACTATTCTCATTTTTTGTTGTCAGTACTACTTGAAAGCCCCTCAGATTTTCCTCGATTTCCTATTACTTATGGCAGTATCCTTTTATCTCTCTCTCTTTTTTTTTTTTTAAGATTTATTTATTTTATTTGAAAGGCGGAGTTAGAGGGAGAGATAGAAAGAAATCCATCTCTGTCCACTGGTTCACTCCCTAAATTGTAGCAACAGCCAGGACTGGATCAGACTGAAGCTTCTTCCGGGTCTCCCATGTGGGTGCAGGAGACCAAGCACTTGGGACATCTTATACTGCCTTTCCAGGTGTACCAGCAGGGAGCTGGATTGGAAGTGGAGCAGCTGGTACTCGAACTGGTGCCCATATGGGATGCTGGCATTATAGGCAGAAGCTTAACCCACTATGCCCCAGTGCTGGCCCTCCATCTAGATTTTTTTTTTAAATGTGTTTGCTTGTGTATTTTCTGTTTAGTTTTAAAGCATGGCTACTATAAGCCATTAATCTTCACTGATGAATTTGGAGTCCAGATTTTTTTTTTTCCCCTTAACAGGAGTTTGACAATTATGCAGAATGGGACTTGAGAGACATTGATTTTGTTGAAGATGACTCGGACATTTTACATGGTAACATTTTATTTTATCAAATGTTTATTGAATGTAAACTGTGTGACAACACTGTTGGATTCTAGGAATGCAGGAATGAATATAATGTGTCTTCTGCCTTTATGGGAGTTAAGATGCTGAACCTACGGTATGTTGGGTTTCTACCACACTGAGTGAGTTGTGATAATGGTGAGAATGTTGATTAGATAATAGCAGTTGGTGCTACCCCAGGCATTGGCCTTTTTGTTTGGGGTGAGCCTGCCCTAAGGTCATGGGTTAAATGGCGCTCACTTGCTTTCTTTAGAAGGAAAGGAATTTGTGTGAAGACCTTGAGGCTTCAGTAACAACTGCTGGTAACTAAATGTAGTATACTTGTTGAATTGCAAGTTAAGTTTTCATGTTGCATTAATTGGCACTTCATCACTCCAAGGGGAATTTGATTCTTTTCTGTTCATAGAGAAGCTGTGTGGGTGTTTGTTACCCTGTTTCTGGGACTAAGAGTCTTTGGAAAAATTTCACCTTGAGAATTTTTTTCTCTATGCACTTCTTGAGCAGTTTTCTTTGCAAAATTTCATTCCTCCTCTTTTCTCCCACACAAATTGAAGGAAAGTCAAAGTGACGCAGATAGAACTAAAAGAGGAAAGCTTGAAAGCAAACGACTTCAGCATTCACTAGATCCATTGTATCTGTTCAGTCTACCATGTCAATCTCTCTTTTCATCTCCAGTGACTCATGTTGTCTGTTTTCACCTCTTATGTTATTCCCTTTAAGGTGGTGTGCAGGTTGCCATTCAATATTTATCTTCATACACACCAGCGTTAATTAAAACGTTACTGTTTCCTGACTTGTGTCTTTCTTACCAGACTATTCTTTGCAAAAAGAGCAGCTTCATAAGTGTCATCCTTTTAGGTACTCTTCAGAAATACTAAACTTTTGAAAGTCAACATCTTTAATGTCAGTAATGATTCAACTATGTAAGTGACTTGCTGAATCACTTCTGTAGGCCCTAATCCAAGGTCTTCATTCGTATGATTCAGCATGAAGAAAACTGTAGTAATGGTTGATATTTAATTTTGTTCTTCTTTGTAGGAGCAGGATTTGTAATTTCTTCTGGTGACTTGTGGTCCTTTCTGTAATTAAGTGGGGACAGAAGGGGCAATCACAAAGAGGCAGTTAATTGATCAGTAATTTTAGCTTTTCAAACCTGTGACATATTTTAGTTATTGGTACTTTCTACAGTTGTGTTTTTTTTTTTTTTTTTTTTTTTTTTTTTTTGGACAGGCAGAGTGGACAGTTAGAGAGAGACAGAAAGGTCTTCCTTTGCTGTTGGTTCACCCTCCAATGGCCGCTGTGGCCGCACCAGCCGGCGCATGGCGCTGATCCGAAGCCAGGAGCCAGGTGCTTCCTCCTGGTCTCCCGTGCAGGTGCAGGGCCCAAGGACTTGGGCCATCCTCCACTGCACTCCCGTGCCATAGCAGAGAGCTGGCCTGGAAGAGGGGCAAGTGGGACAGAATCCGGCACCCTGACTGGGACTAGAACCCGGTGTGCCGGTGCCGCAGGCGGAGGATTAGCCTATTGAGCCGCGGTGCTGGCCTCTACAGTTTCTACAACCTTGTAAAGCTTTTGCTCTAGAACGAGAACATCCATATTAATCCTTCCACATAGGTAGCTTGGACGCAGTGTGCGTAAGGATCCCTGTGAAGTATATATAAGATGTGTAGATGGGTGCTTTTAACATGGTGGTAACATTTTAAAGAGGTCTGCCAGCACTGCAGATGAAAGGGATGACTTGCTGGTGCCTCAAGAGATGCCTTGTTGATGGCTCTGTGCTCTCGTGACTCTTGGCAGCACAACCAGTGTCCTGGCACCTGTTGCCCCTGAGCAGTCTCTCCAGAACACTCCGTGAAGGGGCCTAGGTGTCCAAGGAGGCTCAGAAAGGAATGAGAAGGAGCTGTTAAACATACTTGGGAGGCCGTCGCTGTGGCATAACAGATAAAATCGCCGCCTGCAGTGCTGACATCCCATATTGGCACTGGTTCAAGTCCTGGCTGCTCCACTTTTGATCCAGCTCTCTGCTATGGCCTGAGAAAGTAGTAGAAGATAGCCCAAGAGCTTGAGTCCCTGTACCCCTGTGGGAGACCCAGAAAAAGCTCCTGGCTTCAGATTGGTGTAGCTCTATCAGTTGTGGCCATCTGGGGAGTGAAGCAGCAGATGGAAGCCCTCTCTCTTTCTGCCTCTGCCTCTCTGTAACTCTGCCTTTCAAATAAATAAATAAATCTTAAAAAAAAAAAAAAAAAAAAAACTTGGAATAGAGAGGGGCACAGAATTTGTAGACATCAGGACGCTTGCTCAACCTCACCCTTGTTTCTGAGTCACTCTGGTCTCGAGCAGGTTCTTGGAGTCTTGGTTGCTGTTTCTTTTTGTCCCCTGCCAGTAAAGAAAGAGTGACACTGATTAGTCAGAGAATGAAAATGTCTTCAAGGAAGGGTAGTAAATAGTGGAGACTGGTGTTATTGTCATTCCATCAGACCATTATACTCGTAATATTACTGAGCAGTAACAACATTCCTTTTATGTTTCCTCACTTAGAGCTGCTGGAAGGAAGCAGACTGCTTGTCTGGATTTTGTATTCAGAACCCGTCTAAAATACTGGCTGATGCCACCAAGCCCTTTTCCTTTCCCAAAGATTTTTGCTTTGATTCATGGAATTTACCTAATAAAATTGGCTTGCATTATCAGAGGCTTGGGATACAATGGATGGATAACTAATTGCATTCCAGCCATGCCAGAAGGCTTTCAGAATGGGCACAGAAAAACTACTGCAAGTTATGCATTGTCCAAGGAAGAAAATTAGGTAGTTCTGAGATCCCTTAATGGTACCTTATTAAAATATGCAGAAACTGTTAGTTTGGAAAGAGAGAGGCAGAGGGCTCACAGCTTTAAACTCTCGTGGAATATTTTGAGATATCCATGCACGTGCCCAGTTAACTACTCCTCTTCACAGCTCTTCCCTTACTCTTTTGATCTGTCAAAATCTCTCCTAAATTTATGGACTACTCATTCTGAGTGTCTCAGGGTCCTATAATTCTGATTGTAGCATCTTCTAGTCATTTTCCCAGGATCAAGGCCAGCAAAAGGCTTTACAAACCCCTGCTATGAGTTTCCAGCACCTTTCAGGGTCACACAGTAGTACAGTTCACTTTCCTGCTATTTGGAAAGCTAATATCAGCAGTATTTCTCTGATAGGCATGGGTCCCATCCATTTTTCGGGTCCTGCTCATTTTTCTTTGGCCTGCGTCCTCAACCCTTTATGGCCTTTACCAGTTAGTAGATCAGAGGTTGAGCCTGGTCTCCTGTGTGTTCAGTTGTTGTCAGTGCTCTTTCCTTTATCTTGATATAGGACACATTAGACATAAATCTTTCAGTGGTAATAAATAATACAGAAAGCTAAATCTATGACCTGAATAATTTTTTAAATTTTTACTTATTTTCATTTAACTTGAAAGGCAGAGGGACAGAAACAGATAGACAGGGATCTCTCAGCTACTGGTTTATGTGAAAGAGAGAGAGAGGGAGAGACAAGAGATAGGTTCACTCCCAAAATGGTGGCAACAGCCAGGGCCAGGCCAGGCCAAAGTCAGGAGTCTGGAACTTCTCCCTGGTTTCCCATGTGTGTTGCAGGGTTCCAAGTATTTGAAGTGTCTTTCTCAGGCACATTAGTAGGGAGCTGGATTAGAAGTGTAGCATCATGGACTGGAGCTAGTGCCCATAAGGGATTCCTACATCGCAGGTGGAGGCTTACCTGCTGCACCACAATCCCTGTCCCTGTTGTCCCATTTTTATTCCCATTTTACAGATGAGAAAATGCAGATGTGGAAGGATCACATAGCACGCAACTGGCAGAGCCATCCCTAGAGTCCTTTTTTTTTATGTTGTAGTTTTATTTATTCATTTGAAACAGTTACAGAGAGAGGGAGAGATGAGATCTTCCATCTGCTGATTCAGTCCCCAGATGGCCATAACAGTGTGTGCTTGGCCAAGAGCTAGGAGCTTCTTCTGTATCTCCCACATGAGTGCAGGGGCCCAAGAACTTGGACCATCTTCTATTGCTTTCCCAGGTGCATTAGCAGGGAGCTGGATTGGAAGTGGAGCAGCCAGGACTTGAACTGGTGCCCAAATGTGATGCAGGCAGAGGCTTAACCTGCTACACCACAATGCCGGCCTGAGTCCATGTTCTTAGTACTATATAATATTTACTGTCTCTGTAATCTTGAAAAAAAAAAAAAGATTTATTCATTTGGAAGGCAGAGTTATAAAGAGAAGGAGTGACAGATCCTCCATCTGTTGGATCACTCCCCAAGTGGCCACAACAGCAGGGGCAGGCTGAAGCCAGGAACCATGAGCTTCATCTGAGTCTCAGTGGCAGGAGTCCAAGAACTTGGGTCGTCTTCTGCTTTTCCAGGTGTATTAGAAGGGAGCTGGATGAGAAATGGAACATCCAGGACTCAAACCAGTACCCATATGGGATGCCAGTTACACAGACAGCCACTTAACCTGATATGCCACAATGCTGGCCCTGAATTCTTGAATTTTTACTCCTGTTTTTTTCGTGTGAGGTTTCACATTTGTTTTCTATAGCCTCACCACATTTTTGAGAAGTAAGAATAGATATTTTCCCATTTTACATTTAGAGAAATTCACACAGAAGTTAAGTAATTTGCTTAGGGCTTCCCAATTGCTGGATTTAACCATTAGGATACATTATCTTCTTCCCTTTAGCAAAATTATTTGCGTGGGTACCAGTGCTGTGGCATAGTGGTTAAAGCCGCTGCCTGCAATGCCAGCATCCTATATGGGCACAGGTTCGGTCCCATCTGCTTTACCTTTTTTTTTTTTTTTTTAAGATTTATTTTATTTATTTGAAAGAGTTACAGAGAGAGGTAGAGACAGAGAGAAAGGTCTTCCATCTGCTGGTTCACTCCCCAGATGGCCTCAATGGCTGGAGCTGCGCTGATCCGAAGCCAGGAGCTTCTTCTGGGTCTCCCATGTGGGTGCAGGGGCCCAAAGACTTGGGCTGTCTTCTACTGCTTTCCCAGGTCACAGCAGAGAGCTGGATTGGAAGAGGAGCAGCCGGGACTCGAACCGGCGCTCATATGGGATGCTGGCGCTTCAGGCCAGAGTGTTAACCCACTGCGCCACAGCGCTGGCCCCTGCTTTGCTTTCTTTTTTTTTTATTTTTTTGACAGGCAGAGTGGACAGTGAGAGAGAGAGAGACAGAGAGAAAGGTCTTCCTTTGCCGTTGGTTCACCCTCCAATGGCCGCCACAGCTGGCACGCTGTGGCCAGCGCACCGTGCTGATCCAAAGGCAGGAGCCAGGTGCTTCTCCTGGTCTCCCATGGGGTGCAGGGCCCAAGGACTTGGGCCATCCTCCACTGCACTCCCTGGCCACAGCAGAGAGCTGGCCTGGAAGAGGGGCAACTGGGACAGAATCCGGCGCCCCGACCAGGACTAGAACCCTGGGTGCCAGCACCACTAGGCGGAGGATTAGCCGGCTCCCTGCTTTGCTTTCGATCCAGCTTTTTGCTATGGCCTGGGAAAGAAGTAGAAGATGGCCTAAGTCCTTGGGCCTCTGCACCCATATGGGAGACCTGAAAGAAGCTCCTGGCTGCTGGCTTCAGATCGGCCCAGCTTCAGCCATTGCAGCCATTTGGGGAGTGAACCAATGGATGGAAGACCTCTCTCTCTACCTCTACTCTTGCCTCTCTGTAACTTTGACTTTCAAATAAATAAATAATTCTTTATTTGTGTGTACCTTGATCAAGAGCTTAGGGGGAAATAACTTAAAAAGCTTTACTTCAGGGATGTACCTGAGTTTGTCCTTATGCAGGTGCAGGAAGGATTTTGATTGGTTTCCCTTCAGTTAAGGCTTTTGAGTCGGTTTTCTTGCCAAGCAAGCAGTAAGTGCCTTCTGTCAAGAAAACAGAAACATGTTGCCAGCTATTTTGAACAATGTTAGAAATATACTGCAGTGGGAAGGAGCTTGCCTCTGACTTCTGCCCACTTCTTGAAATATTTTAAGGCTAGCCGTTTGGAAACGTTATCCGTCACCAGTGTAATCACAGAGAGCCTGTTCTTCCCCCAGAGCTGAGATCTCAGAGGCCTTGTAGTGGTGGTTAGATTTGGTGTGCTTGTTTGATGGTCTCTGGTTCTTTCTTTGCCAGTGTGTCTGGAGCTTCAGTGGCTTGTAGTAGGTGTCTGCCTTGTTGTTTCTGTTCTGCTCTGGCCCTCCCTGGGTTATTTATGCAGTTTTAAGATCTTGTAATCATTTGGAGCTAAGTGTGCCTTATAAAGAAAAGAGATGGCTTCCAATATGAGTTTTTAACTGGGAGAATTCCAGTTCTCTTCCCATTTGGTTTGGTTTTGTTCTCCGGAGACACTTGCACAAATTTAAGTGACTGAAATTCTGAGCAGTAAAGCTGTTTATCAGTGGTAATTATTAATAGTTTTTTTTCTTTGAGGGAGGTAACATCATCTCTAGGGATTTTTTTTTTCTTTTTTAATTAAGCCAATCCCACGCACATCTCAGAAAACAATGTGGTAAAGTCAGTACCTTACAAAGAATTACAGAAATGTTTTGTCAAAATTAGCAGTAATTTTCACTGGATCTTTAAGACATTTCTTTTTTCTTTTTTTTACTTTTTTTTTAAGATTTATTTATTTGAAAGACAGTTACAGAGAGAGAGACAGACAGACACAGATCTTTCATGCACTGGTTTACTCCCCAAATGGCCACAGCAGTTGGGGCTGTGCCAGGCCAAAGCTAGGAGCAGGAGCTTCTTCCAGGTCTGGCACATGGGTGCAAAGACCCAAGCACTTGGGATATCTTCCAGTGCTGTCTCAGGTGCATTAGCAGGGAGCAATACCAGAAATGGAGCAGCCAGGACAAGAACCAATGCCCATATGGGATGCTGGTGTCACAGGCAGCTTAACCTCCTATGCCACAAAGTTGGCCTGTACATTTTTTTTTTAAGTGTTTTTTTTTTTTTTTTTTTTTTTTTTTTTAATTTGAAAGTCAGAGTCATAGAGAGAGAGATCTTCCATCCACTGGTGCATTTCTCTAGATGACTGCAACAGCTGAGGCTGGACAAGGCCAAAGCCAAGAGCCAGAAGTTTCATCTGGATTTCCCATGTGAGTGTCAGGGGCCCAAGTATTTGGGCTATCTTCCGCCACTTTCACAGGCACATTAGCAGGGAGTTTGATCTGAAGTGGAGCAGCTGGGACATGAACCACACAAACCGGTGCTCATGTGAAATGCTGGCACTGTGGCAGCTGCTTAATCCACTGTACCACAGTGCTGGCCTGAGGACACTGCTTTTGCACTCATCGTATTGGGTAGATAAATGAGATAAAGCACATAGGGAGCCTGAAACATCAGAACTCAGTATACTTCAGCTGTTGCTATGTTTGTTCCCCTTTCTGGCTTCCACTATTGACTTCATAATTCTTCCTTTTTCATTAAGGACAGAGTGCCCTCTAACACCAGCATGCCAGAGACCCTTCCTTTCCTCCCTCTCCCTGCATGCCTGTCCTACCAGATAGCCACATGCAATGCGTCTCCACCAGCAGGGCGCTCTGAAGCCTGTTCTCCCAGAGCAGCAACGGCAGGCCATGGAGCATCCTGTAGTTTCTGGACTTCCATGTGGAACAGCCCTAAAAACCAAGGAAGGTGTCACTTGTATGAAGAAGTCTATACCTTAAAAAAGAGTTTGAAAACCATTGCTTTAAATCTTGGACTTTACAGTACGGAATTACTTTTCATTTGTAGACAGTTATGATAGAAAAATGAACCGGGCCGGCTCCGTGACGCAGTAGGTAAATCCTCTGTCTGTGGCGCCAGCATCCCATATGGGCTGGCTACCCCTAGTCCTGGCTACCCCTCTTCCAGTCCAGCTCTCTGCTTGGCCTGGGAAAGGCCCAAGTCCTTGGGCCCCTGCATCCGCATGGGAGACCGGGAGGAGGCACCTGGCTCCTGGCTTCGGATCAGCGCAGCTCTGGCCATTTCGTCCATCTGGGGAGTGAACCAATAGAAGGAAGACCTTTCTTTGTCTCTGCCTCTCACTTTCTGTAACTACCTCTCAAATAAATAAAATAAAATCTTTTTTTTTATTTTTATTTACATATTTATTTATTTATTTTGACAGGCAGAGTGGACAGTGAGAGAGAGAGACAGAGAGAAAGGTCTTCCTTTGCCGTTGGTTCACCCTTCAATGGCCGCCGCAGCCGACACGCTGCGGCCGGCGCACCGCGCTGATCCGATGGCAGGAGCCAGGTGCTTCTCCTGGTCTCCCATGGGGTGCAGGGCCCAAGCACCTGGGCCATCCTCCACTGCACTCCCTGGCCACAGCAGAGAGCTTGCCTGGAAGAGGGGCAGCTGGGACAGAATCTGGCGCCCCGACCAGGACTAGAACCTGGTGTGCCGGCGCTGCAAGGCGGAGGATTAGCCTAGTGAGCCATGGCACCAGCCAAAATAAAATAAAATCTTAAAAAAAAAAAAAGAAAAATGAACCAATGTTTAAATCTTTGAACTTGTTAGAAATAAAAAGAATCCATGGTAGGTAGTTTTTTATAATTAAACTTTATAACAAATTGTATTCACTCACCTTCGCAGATGATCCAGCTAAGATTTAGGCTATAAAATAACCTAAAATATCTCAGAGCTAAGGGAGGCCAGTCTGGATAAAGTATTCCTGGACATCTGACAGTGTTTGAAGTTCCGGACATGTGTAGCGCAGCCGCTCATAGCTCAGCACGCCAGATTTTGGTATTGAACCTTTGAATGTACGATCAGCCCGAGGGCAGGCGGAAGCCACGAGATGCACAGCGTGAGTCGGTATGCAGTATCCAGAAGTCATTTCTGTTGTCTAGCCAGGGCTGCTGCATTGACAGTGCTTCAGGATTGCACATTGCTCAACCACTTGTGTTTGTTTTCCTCTTGTGTTCTGTTCTATTACTTCATTGTCCTACTTTTTTTCCTGCACTAACATCTAGTTCTAGCAGAGGGGAGTGTGTCAAACTTCCATTAGAGGTATCCTCAGGGACTACTATTGGGAAAGATAGCTGGGGCCAGAGTACAGAAAAGAGGATCAGCTGGAGCAGATCTGACTCACCTGTTCTAAATGACATTTTATTTAAAAACAGAGTTTCAGACTTGCTCTAGCAGAGCTTGTAGGTCTGTGCTGATCATTGCCCCTCAAGTCTGTACTTGAACTTGAGTGCCCTCGTACTCACTGCATGAGGAATGGGGTTGTACTGTCTGAGTACACCAATATTCCAGAGGCTTGAGGCTTAGTGGCATTCGGCTGTTTAGGATGAGCCTATAACATGAAAGAAGAAAGTCTCACACATAGTCTTTGCTGCAAAGCCAGTGTGGTGTTAGACATAATTACCTAACCTTTGAATTATGTTTTTTTGGTTTTTCAAAGGACACATGGTAGGTCAGTGTGTTGTGCCCTAGAGCCTCTTTCTTCTGCAAATACAGGCAGTAATTAAAGCAAAAATCCAAAGTCTCAACTTGTACAAGCTTATGGCATTAACAAATTGTTAAGATAGTTCCATAATCTACTGACATCAAAAAATCTTAAGATGCCTTCAAAATCCATCAGTGAGAAGAATGGTTTAACATAGCATAGTGCTATGTTACACATTACTCATAGTTTCTTCTAGAGTTGTTAATAATTGGTATTCATATCTTAACCTTAGAGGTTTTCCAAATATTAAAAACCTGTGGGAGTTTTTTGTTTCTGAAGTGTTTTTTTTTTTTAAGTATACATTTCATTTTCAGTGAAGCCAAGTTTAAGATATAGGACTAGTTCAAAGAAAGTACACATGTTGGACAATTTCAGAGTCTTTCCTACTCAAGGCTCGGAGCCAAGCTGCCTGGGTTTGGATTTTCACTTTTTCTTAGCTGTGTGATCGTGAGAAGGTTGTTTTGTGTGCATGGTGCATACATGGAAGTGGTAGGAATGAGACTGCAGAGGCAGGCAGAATCAAGAAGATAAAGGTTCTTGTCAGAGGTTGAATTTCTGCAAGTGGATGGGAAGCCACTGAAGAATTATGTATAAGTAGGGGAATTACACCATAAAATTGTGCTATTGTGCTTTAAAGTATGACTCTGATACCATCTGGAGGGAGGGAACTGGAGTAAGGCCAGAGTGGAGTTAGTAAGACAGGAAGCATGCCTCTGTAAATGACATCAAGAGAGACAAGAGGCCTGCGCTCTGAGGAACAGTGAGAGACGCAAAGGTTTATTTGAAAGATTGAAGTACAGATAAGACTGGCTAACTAGGTGTGGAGAAAGGAGAAGGGAAAAGTCTAAGTTGATTTCTGTCTTGAACAACTAAACTTTAGTTCTGTTAACCAAGGTAAGAGTTACAGAAGATGGGAAAAGGGTAAAACACAAACTTATAATTGAAGGCCATGGGAATTAAGATATTCAGTAGAGGTGATGGTGCTGTGGCATATTAGGTAAAGCCGCTGCCTACAGTGCCAGCGTCCCATATGGGCGCCAGTTCAAGTCCTGGCTGCTCCACTTCTGATCCTGCTCTCTGCTATGGCCTGGGAAAGCGGTAGAATTTGGTCCAAGTCTGTGGGCCCCTGCACTTGTGTGGGAAGCCCAGAAGAAGCTCCTGGCTCCTGGCTTCAGATTGGCCTAGCTACGGCCATTGTGGCCATCTGGGGAGTAAAGTAGCAGATGGAAGACCTCGCTCTTTCTCTGCCTCTGCCTTTCTGTAACTCTACTTTTCAAATAAAAATAAATAAATCTTTAAAAAAAAGATATTCAATAGAATCTGGAGCTTAAAAACATAATCTAGGGGCCTGTGTTGTGGCATAGTAGGTAACACCATGGCATCCCGTATAGGCACAGGTTCATGTTCTGGCTGCTACACTTCTGATCTAGTTCCCTGCAAACAGCTTGGGAAAAGCAGCAGATAGTGGCCCAAGTGTTTGGACCCTTGCACCGATGTGGGAGACCTGAATGAAAGTTCTCTATCTCTCCTATCTTTGTAACTCTTTCAAAAAACATAAATAAACCTTTTTTAAAAATAGATCATCTGGGGGCCGGATGTATAGCACAGCAGGTTAAAGCCCCTGTCTGCAATGCTGGTGTCCCATATGGGTGCCAGTTCAAGTCCCAGATGCTCCACTTTTGATCCAGTTCTCTGCTATGGCCTGGGAAAGCAGTAGAAGATGGCCCAAACCCTTGGGTCCCTGCAGCCGCATGGGAGACCCTGAAGAAGCTCCTGGCTCCTGGCTTCAGATCAATGCAGCTCTGGTCATTGCAGACATATTGGGAGTGAGCCAGCAGATGGAAGACCTCTCTCTGCCTTTCCTCTCTGCAACTGCCTTTCAAATAAATAAATGAATCTTTAAAAAAAATAAATAATCTGACTTTGAGATAATTTGTATGTTTTGATGGTACTTGGAACTTTAAAATTGGATAAATGTATAGGAATAAGATGAAGGGTGAAATGAAAATTGAGAACAGAAGCCTTGGGAGCTCTAAAGGTAGAAAAATACTCCTTTTTATAAGCACTCTTACAGATGTGATCGAGGCATTCACTGTGAACAGTAATCTACATAATTGTCCAAAAGAGGTGGTTAGTAGAAAGCTGAAATTGTTGGGTTGTTTTGAAAGATTTGTTTATGTATTTTGAAAGAGAGAGGGAGAGACAAAAGAGATCTTCCATCCACTGGTTCCACTTCTCAAATGGCTGCAACAACCGTTGCTGGGCCAGGCCAAAGCCAGGAGCTTCATCCAGGTCTCCCATGTGGGTGGCAGGGACCCAAATACTTGGGCCATCTTCCACTGCTTTTCCCAGGCCATTAGCAGGGATTCAGATGGGATAGAGCATCCAGGGCTCAAACTGGCGCCCATAGGGGACATTGTCACAGGCACCAGCTTTACCTGCTACCTTAAATTATCTACCTATGGCCTGCGTTGTGGATAAGCGGGTTAAACTGCCACCTGTGATGCCAGCATCCCATATGGGCGCTGATTCAAATCCCAGCTGTTCCACTTCCCATCTAGCTCCCTGCAAATGCTTCTGGGAAAGCAGCAGAAGATGGCCCGAGTGTTTGGGCCCCCGTACCCACATGGGAGACCCAGAAGAAGCTCCTGGCTCCTAGCTTCAGCCTAGCACAGACCTGGTTGTAGTGGCCATTTGGGGCATGAACCAACAGATGGAAGATTTCTCTTTCTGCCTTTTCCTTAAAACTAGATCTGCTTACAGTGTTAATGGAGTTTAAAGAATTAAAAAAAAATTATTATCTAAAGAGTAATGCTGTAATAAATACATAAGGAAAAAGAACTTCGTTGTAAATTTGCTGATAGAAAAATTCAGTATACTAGGTTATTTTTATGTTAGATAGACTTCTTAGACTAGTGTATGTGGAATAGTTAGCAATATGTGATTCTAAGTTTGGGTCAAAGATTTATTTTTGTTATGGATTTGTTTATGTTATATATATATGTATGTATATTTTGTTTTATATACATATTGTAGCTCTGAAGATGGCTGTGGTAGATATCTATCATTCGAGATTAAAAGAGAGACAAAGACGAAAAAAGTAAGTATGGAAAACCACCCAGTCTTCTTTCAGCTTTGAAATGTTGACAGCATCTAGTTCATAGAAGTGTTCTGCTTGCATGTCATCTTGTGACCTTAGGGAAGACACTTCTCCTCCTATGTCTCAGTTATTCCATCTCTCAAATGGGGATAATAATTCCTGTCTTATTTTTTCCTCCTTTTCCCTTACCCTTTGTTGATGTTCCGATGAACAGTGAATAATGTGAATACATTGGAAAAGAAAAGAATGAGATAAATTCAAGGCATTAATAAATTGTTAGGCTTTTTTTTTAATGTTATTCTGACCTCTCACTTTTCTTTTATAAGAAGTATTTTACCTAAAACAATTTCAAAGAAATTAGATATGTCAGGTACCCTAGTATTCCTTGTTAAAACAGATCAAAAAATATACTTTCAGACTTAGAAATTGTGGATCCCAGGCCTCTGCTGATTTACAGAGACTTGAGTGGTTCAGAGAGGGTATATGTGTGTAGGTGTGGATGTTACTGTGATGGTCCCAATACGGACACAGAGATATCTCAGCAGGTGAAAAGTAAGGGAGTTGGGGGACACTCTTGGGGGACCCAGATGTGATCTAAACTGAAACTGACTATGTTATGTATCTGGAGTTAGCTGCCCTGAAGTGTGAGATTGCTTACCAAGCTGCCACATGAGAGGCTTCATATATAGTTACAGAGCCTGTGTAGTTTACTGAAATTCTAATTTCCTTAAAACACACAGTGAGAGCTAGAGTATTGTACACCCTGATTGTTGAGGTTGCTGTCAGAGCTCACGTTTTATGATGCCTTTCCATTAAGCATGCACCGTGTGTATTCACGTAGCTTGAAAGTGCTGTGTGAATGCACGTTGTAAATGCTGAGTGTGTGATCTGGTGCCTTTTTATGGTTAGCAGGTTTCCCTCACATGGTTGTTCTCAATGATCATTTCTACAAACTAAACAGATTAACTTTATGATGCAGACACAGATTCCCTTCTGTTTGATCTTAAGCGGCAGACACATGATTTTCAGAATTTGTGAGTGGCAGTTGATTTAGTCATTCACCCATCAAGTAGTTACTGAGAATCTACTATGCATAAGAAGAAGGAAACAGCGTGGTGCTGGAGATCCTGAGTGGGCCAGCGCCGTGATTCACTGCACAAGTTTGTGGGGAGTGACTTCTTTGCACCTCAGTGTTCTGCCTCAGAATACCTAGGATGTCTAATAAAAGCTGCATGCAGAAGATACTGTGAAACTAATTCTAACACACAGGTGATTGTGGTTTGTCATTTTAGAATCATAAGAGATCATGGATTAATCAACCTCAGAAAATTTCAGTGTAAGTATTAGCTGTTGTATTTTATAATTTCTCCCATGTCTTTGATTAGTTTTCAACAAATCATTTATGACAGTCATTCTTTATTAATCCAGGTTGCATATTAGTACCTAGGAAGACTTTAAAAATTCTGATGCTTTGGCCTTCACCCCAAACTAAGTCAGTCTAGTACAGGTAGATCACACACACACACACACACACACACACACACATATGATTTATTTTATTTATTTGAAAGAGTTACAGAGAGAGGTAGAGACAGAGAGAGGGGTCTTCCATCTGCCAGTTCACTCCTCAGGTGGCTGCAAAGCCAGGAGCCTCCTCCAGGTCTCCCATGTGTGTGCAGGGGCCCAAGGACCTGGGCCATCCTCCACTGCTATCCCAGGCCATAGCAGAGAGCCAGATCAGAAGAGGAGCAGCCGGGACTAGAACCAGCACCCATGTAGGATGCCGGCGCCGCAGGCCAGGACTTTAACCCACTGTGCCACAGCGCTGGCCCTGATCATACATATTTTTTAAAGTCTTCAAGGCACTCTGAACCACGGTGGAAGTTAAGGACTCTTAATTTGTAATCAACAACATTTGGATGAGAGTTATTTCCCTAAAATTAGTATAGTAAGTGTAGCATGAATATTAATGGATCATTTCCTGGATAATCATATTTTGAAGTGTGTTAAATGATCTTGATCTTCAAGTTTTAAATATATTTTTAGAGAAAAACCAGCTGAAAGCAATACCTTTATTTTGCATGGTGGTAAACAAACCAAAAAGATGCCATTTAACTTAATGGTTTTTAAATGAATGCTATATTTGACATTACTGTTTTAAATATTGGAGATCTCTAAGCTGAGCAGAAAAGTACCCATCCTTTTTCCCCCCACAGTGTAGTTTGTTCAGCAAATAAGAATGGCGATCTCAATAATCATTGCAAAACTTATATAAAAGTGTTTATAATGAACAGAGAAATAGGTTGTCAGAAAAAGAAAACTGAGAAAAATATTTGTTAGTTGTGTGTCATAATACTGTTTTTCGTAAAAATACCTGCTGGTTAATGTGGAACATCCAGTGGACAGAATCTTCACAGGGTTATTTCTTTGTCTGTGGTGCTGTAGGTTTTGTGTCAGCCTGTCACACAGGTCAAGTGTCTTTTCAACCTAAGTAATTAGCTACGATTTTCTTCAGCAGAAAGTGATACCTTTATTTTTCACGTCCCATTACACATTTTTCAGGTTACTGTAGTGTTTTAAGAATGTCACTTTTAACAGTTTTGTAATATGTCTTTTTATTAGTTACATATGCATACACAAAGAGAAATATTTATATACTTGATCTGATTTTTTTATTTTAGTTATTGATTAGCTTTTTAATCATATAAATAATGTCATACTGAACTTGTTTATGAATAAAGTTTTGTCTAGGTTTTATTTGTAGTTAATGGTTTTTATGTTATTTTATTTTATTTTGCTTTATGGTATATTCCTGGAGGTAGAATTAATAGGTCAGAAAGTATGATCGTTGAAACGTTTTTGACCCACCACTGCCAGATTGCTTTCCAAAAGACGGCTGTATCAGTTTAGATTTCTCCCAGCAATGGCTGACGTTGCCTGTTTGACCTTGTCCTCATCTATACCTCTGGACTTAGAGAAATAATTCAGCCTCAGATTTCCCTTGTTCTTCAGTAGACAGTAATTGGTCATATTCTGGTTGTCACAGTAATGGATTCTTTATCTCAATTCCTGGGTTTTCCATAATAGGTCAGTTGTTTTTGACCTTTATTCATAGTAGACATTGACTTGTGCATAAATTCTATTTTCAGCTCGTGGGCAGAGATCAGTTTGGCTTCGTGTCTTTGTTAAGTATGTTTTTCCCAGATGCAGGGCTGAGGAGAAGCCCTGTTACCTCTCAGAATGTAGAAATGCCAAGTGCATTTTGTTTTCAGTGATATTCAGTTGCCACTATACTGAATGAACTAGTGACTGTAGTATGGTAGGTGGGTTTTTCTTTTTTTCTTCAAATTTTTAAAATTGTACTCCAAATTCTTCTGTGGTATCCCCTTAGTGAGGACTATTTTTGAAGTCAAAATAACCAGACTGTGGCTCCTCATCAAATTCATTTTTGGTATTTGTGGATAAAAATGTCCCCTGTGGGGCTGGGGCTGTGGCATTGTGGGTAAAGCCACCGCCTGCAGTGCCAGCATCCCATATGGGCTCTGATTCGAGTCCCGGGTGCTCCACTTCCGATCCAGCTCTCTGCTATGGCCTGGGAAAACAGTAGAAGATGGCCCAAGTCTTTGGGCCTCTGCACCCACGTGGGAGACCTGAAAGAAGCTCCTGGCTCCTGGCTTCAGATCCGCCCAGCTCTGGTTGTTGTGGCCATTTGGGGACTGACCAGCAGATGGAAGACCTCTCTCTCTCTCTCTGGCTCTGCCTCTGCCTTTCTGTAACTCTGTCTTTCAAATAGATAAATAAATCTTTTTTAAAAAAATAGGAATGTCTCCTGCAAGGGAACAAAACGATGGATCTGGAAAGCGGATTAATTTAGATAACTGTCATCAGTGAAAGCCTGTATCTTTAGTCCAAGACTAAAGTCCATTGCCCTGTTGATTATCTAATTGAGATCAAATAGCAGCTCGAGATATCCTGGCTATGCTGACCTTCCAGCTGTTGGCAGTCGCCCCTCACCTTGGCAGAAACCTCTTTTGGTAAGAAGTTTGGTCAGAAGTGGTCCTGAGAGTTGTTGGCCCTGGTTACCCTGCATGTGTGACCATTTACTTGGGCCTTAGTGGTCACAATATAGCATCATTAGTAGTGAATTACATTGCAGTGCTTAATTTCATTTAGAGAAAGGCAAAATGGTCTGCAGGGGGGATGAAGAAAAATTCCTCATTTGAGGATGTGTAGGTAAGGAGAACATTCCAGGTAGGGTATACAAGAGAGCACACACTTTTTCCCAGCCCATATAGCTCCTCTAGTGGGCTATTGTGTTTGCAGATTCCTAATTGCATAAATTTGGCTAGCATTGTTTCTAAGAATGCAAAATCTGCCTTTATGTTATCGCTCCAGCCCCCCTTGCCAGCAGTTCCTGCCCTAACAGTGAAGTGTGAGAGTGGAGATGGTCTAGCGATAACAAGCCCTTTGTGTGGTAGCTGCTGTGATGCTGTGACTGTTAGGAGTAGCGTTTTGGCATTCTTGGCTTTCTGTTTGCTTCCTGTCCTGGGTACGTTAGTCATGTGAGGTTAGGACTAATATCCTTCCATTTGACTTTTTATTTTTTTTAAATGCAGAAAATGTCAGGATCCTCACGTTCTCCACGACACACTTGTGTTTTATTTTCTCTATAGTAATGGAACGGCGGTATCCCAAGGAGGTCCAAGACCTTTATGAAACAATGAGGCGATTTGCAAGGATTGTGGGACCAGTGGAACATGACAAATTCATTGAAAGCCACGCACGTAGGTGGTTTTAGAGCCTTGTTGAGCTGGTATCTGTGTGTGTGTATGTGTGTGTGTTTATATAAATAGAGGGTGTGTTTTGTGTGGAGTTCTGTAAATAAATAGATATTTCTCTTTGTTCCTTCTTATTACTATGAGATAAATGTGAGACTGTGGGAATACGACAAGAGAATAGAAAAGTAGAGGTAATATAACGAACTCCATGTTTCTGTATTGAAACTAGGTTTTAAAATGGGAACAGAATTAGGTAACTCATAGGAATAGTACCTTCATCATTCATTCTCTTGCCTTTCGTACCCCTAAGAGAGCTCTGCCCAGTTACCATTTCATTTTCAACAATAAAAAACCAAAGTGGTTAAGGGATCAAGACCTTTCAGACCAACTCAGTTAGGAGGCTTAGTCTGTATCGTTCATCAGGAGTTTGTGTATTTGGTTCCCAAGCTTTAGTTTGTTTTTTTGTTTTTGTTTTTTTTTTTTTTTTTGACAGGCAGAGTGGACAGTGAGAGAGAGAGACAGAGAGAAAGGTCTTCCTTTTGCCGTTGGTTCACCCTCCAATGGCCGCTGTGGCCAGCGCACCGTGCCTATTCGAAGGCAGGAGCCAGGTGCTTCTCCTGGTCTCCCATGGGGTGCAAGGCCCAAGGACTTGGGCCATCCTCCACTGCACTCCCTGGCCACAGCAGAGAGCTGGCCTGGAAGAGGGGCAACCGGGACAGAATCCGGCGCCCCGACTGGGACTAGAACCCGGTGTGCCGGCGCCGCAAGGCGGAGGATTCAAGCTTTAGTCTTGAAAGGTTCTCTTCCAAGGCTCTCCATTTTGTCCTCTTGCAGCTACTTCTTGTGTAACATTGCAAGCATTTGTCTGAGCCAAGTTGATTGTCCTCACCAACACCTTCTTTGGTTGGCGTTCTTGATGTCATTTGTACTGAATGCCTGATCGTTTACTTCCTGTCCCATTTTATGTGTCACTTCAGAAAACCACACCCCATAGGTGCCTAGGCTCTCCTTTGTCCTCTGCTTCAAAAGCACCCACATGTGAGTGTTGTATCATATCATAGCAACATGACCTGTGTTCAGAGGAGGCAGAACCTTTTGGTTTGTGGAAAACACAATGCTCTTTTGTCACTACAGGAGAAGAGCTCTGAAGAAACTAACTGGGGCTCACATACAGAGCTTTTGTCCTTCCCTTGTGCAAGGGCCACATTAAGTAATCCCAGAGATCTCATAAAATCTCAGTCAAGTGAGTAGAACTTTCAACAGAAGATAGGTAGAGCAGGAAAAACTCGGGGACTTAAAAGATGACATTCACGGGACAGGCGGCTGTCACTGCTTGGGACGCCTGCCTGGTTTGAGTGCTGGTTCCTCTGCGTCCAGTCCAGCTTCCTGCTAATGTGCACCACAGGAGGACGCAGATGGTAGCTCGGGGACTTGGGTCCCTGCCACCCCTGGGAGACCCAGGTAGAGTTCCAGGCTCCAGACTTCAGCCTGGCCCAGCTGGCTGTTGTAGGCGTTTGGAGAGTAAAGCCGGGATGGAAGATATTTCTCTGTCATTTTGAATACTGTTTCAGGTTATATCGGTAGCTCTGGTAGACAGATGAGTTCAATCAGTTCGCTGTAAGTTTTGTAGGAAACAAGCCATCTGTCTCTTAGAGACAGCAGCCAGAAGAGGTTTTCTCAGCTCTTAGGTAAAATTTCTAATGAGAAGTTATCAGCAGATAGGATTCCCCAAGTGAAATTGCCCAACCTTTTCCAAAGCAGAATGACTGAAAACACATAGCAGAAGTGCTCATTCATATTGGTTATTTTTTTCAATTTTTCTTCTTCTTGGGGAAAACAGTGGAATTTGAGCTCCGAAGAGAAATCAAGAGACTCCAGGAATATAGGACAGCGGGCATTACCAATTTTTGTAGTAAGTATGTTTCGATCACATGGTGTATCAGAGAGCAAGTGTCTTCCAGACGCATCCAGGAAGTGTCTGAGGTATTGTGATACTTCCTTTAAAACAGGCTTTTCTTTTTCAGAATGAGTTTTCAATCTTTCCAGTAAACTTTCATCCCATTTTATCCATATAAGCACCATTATTTGGTTATCTGAAGTAGAATAACAGTCATGATATAAAGAAAAGAGATGTTGCTTTAGATTTAGGATTCTGCCATGGTTCCTAATAAAAAAGAGTTTTATATTCTAGGTTTTAGCCCCAGCCTTTCTAAGTGTATTAACAAAGTTTTATTAACCAAGCTTTGGATGGCTCTGGTACTTGCATTCCAGTTACTTGAAGTAATAGGAGTAATTGTATTAGTAGCAGCTAACATCTGTCAAATGTTTACTGTGCACCAGGCCCTATGCTAGGCATTTCACCTGGATTATGTCTTGGAACTCTTATGACCAACTCATGAGGTACTGTTATTTCCATTTATTGAAGAAACGAAGGCTTGAAGAGATTAAAGAGCAAGTAAATGTTAGAGCCAGTTCATCAGGGAAGGCCATGTGTTACTACAGTACTTTGAGGCTAGAGGGCTACACTTGGACTCTCCTCTTTACTAGCTCTGTGATTCTGTTCAAGTTTCAATTTCCCAAGTCTCAAGTTGGTGTGAAGATTAAGTTAGAGGTAGTGTAAAAATGTGGCTCAGTGCCTGGCACACAGAAATCCCCCATAAATGGCAATTTCTGTTGTTCTGCTATTATTGTAGGAATGATCTTGAGCATTCACTCCCTCTTCCTGTTTGAAGTCTGAGACTTGAAAGCTATCATCTACTACCCACAAGAAGTAGCTGTGTTTCTTAACATAGCCCTGTGGGTGTAAGTTCAACAATTCTTTCCTTTTAACAGTGGAAACCATGTTTGAAGTGAAATTTTATGTGAAGCTACAAACTACAAATAGGTCATAAGTGGAATTACTTTGGTTGACATTTGATGTGCCACTTATGAATGGAGCCCAGGACTCCCAATATTTGGCACTGACTTTGCTCTTCAAAGTCACCTCGTAGTGTCCTGAGGCTCTGTGTGACACGGTTGGAAACCCGTTGTTACGGTGACCTTTGTGAATGTGGAGAAAGCATCCCACAACTCTTAGGTGCATGTAGAGATGGATGCTGAATTTCAGTTACCTTCTGCTGGTGGCCTCTGGCAAGTATGGGATAGAAAGTGGTGAGTGGGCACTTTTGTTTAATTCTGATTGGTTCTGAAGGAACAGCTTATGCTTATGGCCCTTGTGACTTTGAAATAGATATGAATTAAAAAACCCAGAAAGCAAATATGACAGTAGTCAAATTGCTTTTTTAAAGTGGAAATATGAGTATTATTTGTGCTTTTCTGGTTCCCTCCTCTCCTCCAAATTTCGTAAAGGTAGAACAGGAATAAAAATATTTCAGTTAGTATCAACAAAGGGATTTCAGACTAGGAGAACCCTGCTTTTGCTCTTGGAAAAATAGCTGTGAAAGCAGTTTTGCAAAGAAAACCAAGAAAAGCCAAACAGGAATCCCCGTAGCTCTGCTGCATTGTCATTGTGGTCATCGTATTTTCTATGCCTTCAGGTGCCAGGACCTACGATCACTTGAAGAAGACACGAGAGGAGGAGCGTCTGAAACGCACCATGCTCTCCGAGGTTCTGCAGTACATCCAGGACAGCGGGGCATGCCAGCAGTGGCTCCGCCGGCAAGCCGACATGTGAGCAGTGCTGTGAGCTCCTCCCTGGTGCTGTGAGCGCACCGGTGCTGTGGAGCCCCTCTCGGGCACCCTGCATGCAGATGACTGCAGTCCCCTCAGAAACAGGGCAGTCCTAACAGTTCTGAGAAGTAGAGCTGGCTTCCTGGGATTCCCCCTTGCTACGTTGCTCTTACTTTTAAAAATGAGTGGGTTTCCCTAGCCTCCCACCTGGGCCCTCTCCGCCTGGATATCCATGGTGTGATTCCCATTGAGAATCGTCCTGCTAACCCTTCCCCGTGACGATATCAGTGGCGTTCCAGGGGTAAGAGCTCTCAACAAATCCAGGGCTCCTTTTATTTTCCCTCAGAACAGATTTTCCTTCCCGGTCAGTGTAGTGAGATACCCTGGAAAACATGATGTCTTCAGAGTGACCCACCTGAGGAATGGTCCCCAACCCCATAGGGACTTTGGAAGTTGTCTTTTGACCTGAGTCTAAATTCCTCTTCCTCACTACAGTGATTCCGGCCTGAGTCCTTCTGTTCCAATGGCTTCAAATTCAGGTAATTATTTCTCAGGCTGGAAATAGTCTTGATGGTAAAGTCTGCATTATGGGGGTGATGATGACCCCAAAATCCCACCCAGTGTAGACCAAGGCACTCAGGCAAGTCCAGTTTGTAAACATCTGCAGGTTTCTGGAACCTTCCCTGGGCAGAAAGGAGTGTCCTCAGGGTGAGAGGACAGAGACAGAGGAAGGAAGAACAGTAGAGAAGGTAGCTTCCTTATTTTACCAGTGTCAGCGGGCAGTCAGTTTATGGCACTTGTATCTGCCACACACTCTGGAGATTTGTCTTGCAGGAGATCAAAGGTTTGTATCCAGTATGAGCAAACAAACTGTGTTACTTGCCAGAAACTTGAGGATTTCTTTTCTTTTTTTGACACGCAGAGTTAGAGAGGAGAGAGAGACACAGGGAAAGGTCTTCCTTCTTCCGTTGGTTCACCCCCTATGGCCAGTGCTGCACCAATCCGAAGCCAGGAGTCAGGTGCTTCCTCCTGGTCTCCCATGGGGTGCAGAACCCCAGCACTTGGGCCATCCTCCACTGCACTCCCTGGCCACAGCAGAGAGCTGGCCTGGAAGAGGGGCAACAGGGACAGAATCCGGCGCCCCGACCGGGACTGGAACCGGGGTGCCGGTGCCGCAGGCGGAGGATTAGCCTAGTGAGCTGCAGCGCCTGCCGAGGATTTCTTTATAAATAAGAAGCTTAAGGTTTTTCTGTTTCTTTGCTTTACCTCGCTGGGTATGTCCTATTTTGAAATAAGTTTGTAGAGCAGGATTCAGCTGGCTGCTATCTGATGATCTTGGTGTGTAGTGATCAATGACTAGGAATTTGGAAAGATTATAGTTATAAAATTCTGACCCAAGATCATTGACCACTTGTTTGTTTATTTAGGATTTATTTATTTATTTGAAAGGCAGAGTTAGAGATCTTCCATCTGCTGGTTCACTCTGATGGCCAGAACCAAGAACTTCAGCCAGGTCTCCCATCTAGGTGGCAGGGGCCCAGACATGTGAGCCATCTGCTGCTGCTTTTCCCAGACCATTAGCATTGAGCTGGATTGGAAGTGGAGCAACCAGGACACAAACCAGTGCTCGGACGGGATGCTAGCATCACAGGCAGCAGGCTTCCCCACTTCACCACAACACTGGCCCCTTAGAGTGCTTTGCACGTTCTCTTGGTGGTCATCTGCCCCTGCTCCATATGCTAGATTGGCCATTTCTCCTAATTAGAACATGCAGACATTCTGCTGAGCAGAGACAGCAGAGCCGTTTTACCCATTCTCTGGCAGCTTGCAGCAGCAGAGCTTCTGAAATCTCTCAGTAGACTGAGGATCTAGATGGGACTCAGGTAAGGTCGCTTCAGGAGTTTTTTGGTTTTCTCCTTTTATTCCTCTGTTGTAAGTAATTACTCTTTAATGCTTAAGAGAGAGAAGGGAGACTTTTTACTGAGTCACCAAGACAGTGAAATCCAAGTTTTATTTTGTAAATTTCTTACTTCCAACCTAAATACAAAAATACAAATAACTTACTACTGGTTAATTAAAATGAATGGCTAACATGATCATTCAGCTCTGGTGTTTGAGTTTTCTGAACCATCTGCACTCAGTCTCTGTTTCTTACTGGCCTGGCATGGGCTTCCTCCACTCTGCATTTAGTGTGAGGAGACCCCTTGGTCTTTTATGCTCCGAGTTGCTCTTAACGTCATGAAATGTTAGAAGCCTGGCATCACTGACTGTATCCTAACCTCTGGTGACTTGGGACTTGGGAGGCACCATGCTATTGTACTTCTTTCTGAGCATTTGGGATAAGCCCTCATTCCCTTTGTTAGTATTCCAGAGAGCCCTGGTTTCCAAATGATCAGCTTATAGTGGTGCCTCCCCTTCTGCTGCCCCACCTAAAAGACATCCCCTTTACAGCTGGTGAGCGTCCTACATACTCGTTTGCTGAACTCACTCTGTCCATCCCCAGCTAAATCTTAATCCCAAACACACATTGAAAACAAAACCAGAACAGTTTTGCACATTCACTTCCCATCTTGGCCTGGCCAGTGAACTTCTGCTTGGGTTTCTTTCTCAGCTTGTGTGAGTTGACCTTAGCCCAGCTGCTTTGCCGTATAATGGCTCATTGTTCCTGGGAGTGAATCTTTCAGGTAAACAGGGCTGCTTTGGAATGAACAAATTCTCACTCACATAATAAATAAAGGCTTTTTGCTGGCCTAACAATCTGCCTTTGATCTGGAGGCACAAGGTGCTTGGTTAATTGCCGTGTTTACAGTGTAGCGCTGGCGGTGTGGTGAGGATTAGGGAATGTCTCTCCTGCAGACCTGTTCTTTCCATTCAGCAGCTCTCAAGGCAGGCAGTGTACTGGGTAACATCTGGGCTTCAGATGGTAGAGTCTCCTACGTGGTTAGGAAGACACAGGGGTAACTGCTGTGAGGAGTAGGCACCTCTGACTCTAAGGTATGTGTGATTGTGTGAGCAAAGGACACATGAATTGCCATTGTCATTTTCAGCTGAATGTTGCAGTATCCTTGTTGCTACTAAACACATCTAAGGAGGTGACTTGAACTTTCTTAGCACTGTGTGTGGTGATCCTACAAGTAGCTGGCCTGGTTGCACTGGACACCTCACACCTGACCAGTTGTCTCTGCTTTTCTTCTGTGTCTGTAGGTAGACGAAGTGCGCCACCCTTGAACCTCACTGGGCTCCCTGGCACGGAGAAGCTGAATGAAAAAGAAAAAGAGGTAAAATAAAGGAGAGGAAAGAAACTGAGGGAAAGAGAGTAGAGGCTGGTTATTCATTGATTGTCACTAAAAACGCATTACAAGTGCAAACCCATTTTGCTTCCTTTACCTAACATAGACGCGTAACTTGGGTCCATCCCAAGAGTCCCTAGAGCTAAAGAGCAAATCTGGGTGTAGTGGTTAAAGCCCCTCCTGTGACGCCCGCTTCCCATATGGGCACCAGAGCAGTGGAAGGTGGCCCAAGTGCTGAGGCCCCTGCCGCCTACGTGGGAGACCTGGAAGAAGCTCCTGGCTCCTGACTTCAGCCTGGCGCAGCCCTTGCCATTGTGGTCTTTTGGTGAGTGAACTGGCAGATGGGAGATCTCTGTCTCTCCTTATCTCTGTAACTCTGCCTTTCAAATAAATAAGTCTTTCTTAAAAAAAAAAAATCACTAACCTGGTCAGTCTCACAAAGGTTTTCCCCATTACCCTGTCACCATTGCTGTTTTGGGGGAAGAACACGCACCTGTTAATGAGGTAGCAGCAGATGTCACTTACTGAGTATTTACCATGTGCCAGATGTTCTCTTCTGTGCTTTATGTAAATGAAATTAATTTTCACATGGAAATAGGCATGTCTTGTTGGGATGATCACTTTGAGAAGTTATACACTTACTCCAACAATATAACCATCACTGAAAACATCCGTTGGGATTGTCTCCAAGTTTGTTTACTATCAAAAAGAAAGGAATCCCACATCCCATACAAGGAGTCTTCCAAATTTTTACAGAAAGTACGTATTATGACAGAACTATACAGATATCAAGTTTTTTTGCATGGAAGCAAACTTAACTTTCTACTCCATTTTTCCCCAAAAGTTTTTTAAAGATTTATTTATTTATTTGAAAGGCAGAGTGACAGACAGAAAGAGATCGATCTTCTATCTGTTGCTTGATTCTCCAGATGGCTGGACTGGGCCAGGTGGAAGCTGAGAGCTACACTGGACTCCCACATGGGTGGCAGGAACCCAAGCATTTGGCCATCTTCCACTGCCTTCCCAGGCACAGTAGCAGGAAAGCAGAGCAGCCGGGACTCTGCTGGCACTCCAAAGTAGGATGCCAATGCCACAAGCGGTGGCTCAACCCAACATGAAACAATACTGGCCCCTTCCACAAAATATTGGAAGTCCATTTGTGTAGTCACACATTCATTTTGATGTGAAAAGATGCCATGACCTACTTTCCTTTCCCATTGCAGCCACCAATTATCTTAGCGTTTTTTTGGCTATTTCTGAAACAAGAGGTATCACCAAGAGTTTTCAAAAGAATGTGTATCAGCTCTGAAAGTCCATTCCAAGAGAGAATTTCTTTTTTATTTATTTATTTATTTTTTGACAGAGTGGACAGTGAGAGAGAGAGACAGAGAGAAAGGTCTTCCTTTGCCGTTGGTTCACCCTCCAATGGCCGCCGCGGCCAGTGCGCTGTGGCCGGCGCACTGAGCTGATCCGATGGCAGGAGCCAGGTACTTATCCTGGTCTCCCATGGGGTGCAGGGCCCAAGCACTTGGGCCATCCTCCAGTGCACTTCCTCCAGTGCACTCCCTGGCCACAGCAGAGAGCTGGCCTGGAAGAGGGGCAACCGGGACAGAATTCGGCGCCCCGACCGGGACTAGAACCCGGTGTACCGGCGCCGCAAGGCAGAGGATTAGCCTAGTGAGCCGCAGCGCCGGCCGAGAATTTCTCTTTTGTTCTTTTACAGCTCCCTTGCTCAGTTTTCCTGCCACTGAGTTCATTAGATCATGTCAGATGATAAGCAAGGGTCCCCTTGTAGGGGCTACTGTTAGCTTTCATCCATCAGGAACAGTGAAGAGTGGTGTGCTAATAGAAGGATTGCTGAAGAAGGTCACAGGGCAGTCTGATTCAGACATTGAATGGCTTGGAATTTCAAGCATTTTTATCTTTCCCTACATAATGATGACCTCAGACTGCTCATTGCTGGGTAATGGCAGGTGAACTGGAATTGAACCAGCTTTCTAGATTTTTAACAGTTAAAGTGGTCACCTCTTAGCAAGGTCTCTGTATCACCTTTCCCTCCAAAGAAGGGATTACTGCTTTATGCTGACACGAGGAATAATGGGATCATACCTGAGAACCCTGGTATTGGCACCTGTGCTCACACTGTGCCTTGAGGCCCGTTCCTGATCTCGAATGGTGCTGGCCCCTCCCGGGCGTTCAGTGCTTGCCTCCTGCGTGAGCTAGGCTGCTCCTCAGGAACGCGTGCTCGTATTTCCTAACAGATGCAGGCCCCTCAGCAGCCTGCCCTGGCTAAAGGCTCTTCTAGCATCACACCCTGGCTTTTCTTCCTGGGTGTCTATCCTTAGGCAGTGTTCTCTCCAGAGAAGAGACGAAATGGAATGTGGCCCAGCCACCCAACAGGTCCTATAAATAGTTGGAGGTTGATGTCACTTTTTTTCTTCTATACCTGCTGGATTAAATTATAAGAATGAGCGATGTTAATGTGTATTAAATTTGCCATGTCTTGCAGCTCTGTCAGATGGTGAGGTTGGTCCCTGGAGCCTATTTAGAATATAAATCTGCTCTATTGAACGAATGTAACAAGCAAGGAGGCTTGAGACTGGCACAGGCGAGAGCACTCATCAAGATAGACGTCAACAAAACCCGGAAAATCTATGATTTCCTCATCCGAGAAGGATACATCACTAAAGCCTGAGACTCTACAGGGCTTGGAATCAGAAGTCAGGTGTTTGGAATGTAGTGAGCCACAGGACTGTGTGGGCCCTCAAGAGCTTTGTTTTCCAGCTGAGTTCTGAAAAGGAGAGAAGGACAAAGGAACCCCTCAAGTTGTATTAACATCTACTTTTCTTCCACCCTCCTTTAAACACTCCTGTTGTTAGTGTTGTACTGCAGAGTTGTGTGCTACCTATGCTATTATTAAGTGTGAGTGGGCATTCATTCCTAGCACCTCTTGTAACTAAAACAAGAACCGTAGTACCTCACATCACAGTGTTGGTAGAAGTAGAACCAAACCCAGTCTTCAGACAGAGGTCCAGCTCAGATCCCTGTACTTGAGGGCTAAGTTTGCCAGTCGTCTGTTTTGCCTTCAAACTGCAGATGGATTTTAAATAAAGAGAAAAGCTTTTAGAGCATGCGAAAGCTTTCTCTTTCCTTGTAAGGATTTTTAAAGTGACGACTTAGATTTAAGGGCAAAGCGGAGCAAAGTCTCCCTGTGAAGGTCTTGTCCCAAACTGCGTTTTTGACTTTAATGTCTGGCTTTGTACTTTGCCATCTGGCTGTCTAATCTGCAGTAGACTTTTGAGGAGGTGGCACCGGATATAAAATGTCTCTGTTATTTTTAGAATTAATGGATTAAAAATGTTTTGCTATTTAATTTGTGGGTGTGTCAAATATTCTTAGGGTGTTGGATGCCCGCCGCATCACGCTGCACTGTCTCTGCTGACATGTGTGTCCTGGACTCACCCTGTCCTTACCCTGGGTTTCCCAGGATACCAGGCCCCTGAGGATGGAGATGATGCAACTAACCTCAGCTTTGCTTGGATTGACACCGGAACCCTCGTTTCTCAATGGTGAAAGGCTAGCCTGCAATAAAAGCTGCTTTAAAAACAGAAGGAAAGCCGCTTCATATATGAGACTCAGTAGATACGAGGGTGAGTAGCCCCACCACATCTGAGCCTTGGCCCTCAAGCCTCTCTGCAGAACAAGAAGCTGGACTCATAGTCATGGCTATTTCATTTCCATCAGAAGCAAAGTTGCGCATGGACTCTACCAGTCGCGTCTGATAGCTGACGGATTCCTCAGTTCCTCCAGCAGTCAAACGTCCAGTTAAAATCTCTGTTCCTCGTTGGAAGCATCTGCTCTCACTGGTGACTGATGTAAATAATCACTACTCCTCATCTTGGAAAAGAGAAATGAAAAGGACGCTCTGAGGATCTGAGGCATTCAGGTGGAGGACTTCGGTTCTATAAGAAGCATGGCTTAGAAATGGATTCCACCGCCACCATCAGGCTCACTGGTTGTGAAGGATTGCCTGTCGTCCATGGGAGGTCACTCCTGTGCAAACTTACGTTGGATGAGACGGCAGTGTCAGGTGGTATCTGTTGTGGTTTGAAGACTCCTTCAGTAAGGAGGGGCTCCTCGGAGAGGTGGGCTTTTGAGGCAATAATAAGATAGAGAGGAATGGCAGATGGAAGCAGGAGACTGTTCCAGACATAGTGGGTGGGAGACGGTGTGGAGGCAGCAGTGGGAGTAGAGAAAACAGTGCCAAGAGATGTATTTGGCTAGAACGCCCGGGGCAGCTGTGGTAGCTGAGGGGGAGGATGGGAGGACTGTCTGATGGAAACCTGGGAACCAGTTGCTCTTGGAAAAGTGATGGGGAATCATTTGATGAGGAAAATGGCACACTTGAAAAGTGATAGAATAAGACTGTAATTTCAAATGACTAGACTTTACACAATAGGATTGTTAGTCCTTTGACAAGTTTAACTGCCAAATAGAAGACTTTGTAACCTTAGTGGGTTTCTTTCTTTCTTTTTTTTTTTTTTAAGATTCACTTATTATTGAAAGGCAGAAGGCCGGATTACAGAGAGACAGACAGAGGGAGAGAGATCTTCCATCTATTGATTCACCCCCTAAATGGCCACAACAGCTAGAGCTGGGCCAGTCTGAAACCAGGAGCAGGGAACTGTAGGTGGCAGCTCTACCTGTTACACCATGGCACTGGCCCCCCTAGTGGGCTTCTTAAAAGTCAAGCCATACTGCCTTTATAATAGAAAAATACTCGGCCGGCACCGCGCCTCAGTAGGCTAATCCTCTGCCTGCAGCGTTGGCACCCTGGGTTCTAGTCCCGGTCGGAGAGCCAGATTCTGTCCTGGTTGCTCCTCTTCCAGTCCAGCTCTCTGCTATGGCCTGGAAGGGCAGTAGAGGATGGCCCAAGTCCTTGGGCCCTGCACCCGCATGGGAGACCAGGAGAGGCACCTGGCTCCCGGCTTCGGATCAGCGCAGCACGCTGGCCACAGCGGCCATTGGAGGGTGAACCAACGGAAAAAGGAAGACCTTTCTCTCTCTCTCTCTCATTGTCCACTCTGTCAAAAAAAAAAAAAAAAAAAGAAAGAAAGAAAAATACTCACTGATATTTGGTGTGGCTGGCTGTAATTATTCCCTCCCATGTTCTTAGCACCTAGACAAGATCATTCTTCAGAAATGAAAACCCAGAGCTAGCAAATGCTTTTCAAAAAACATGCCAGCACTGTGGCATAGTGGGTAAAGTCGCTGTCTGCAGTGCCGGCATCCCATATGGGCACTGGTATGAGTCCTGGCTGCTCCACTTCCTATCCAACTCACTGCCCATGTGCCTGGGAAAGCAGCAGAAGATGGCCCATGCACCCATATGGGAGACCCAGAAGAAACTCCAGGCTCCCAGCTTTGCATGGGCCCAGCTCGGCCATTGCGCCCATTTGGGGAATGAACCAGCAGATGGAAAGTCTCTGCCTCTGTAAGTCTGCATTTCAAATTAAAAAAAAAAAAATCTTTCAACCTTTGCTTATAGATCGGGTTGGACATAAACCAACTACACTGTTAGAAGCCTCTCCTAAGCCAGATCCCCCCGAAGAGGGAGAACTTAAACTCAGCAGCATGAATGCAGACCTTTTACTGAATTTAACACTAAAAGTTTCTGCTGGAGTCTACATATCCTTCTCTCCCAGTAGTGGGAAATACAGAACAAGTCTGTTTCCACGTGATGACTTTCTGTTGTGGCACAGTAGATTAAGCTTCCACTTGCAAGCCTGCATCCCATATCTGAGTGCCAGTTCAAATCCTAGCTGCTCCGCTTCCAGTCCAGCTGATGCATCCTGGGAGGCAACAGTGATGGCCCAAGTGCTTGGCCCCCTGCCACCCACGTGGGACATGCAGATGGAGTCTGGGTTCCTGGCTAGTCCCTGCTGTACAGGCACTTGAGGAATGAACGAATGGATGGCAGATACCTTTCTGTCTCTGTCTTTCTCTCTTGCTCTTCCTTTCAAGTAGATGAAAATCAACATTTAAGAAATTAGAGGTAGCCAGTGCTGTGGCCTTAGTAGGCAAGTGCCAGCATCCCATAAGGGCTCTGGTTCGAGTCCCAGCTGCTCCCTATATGATCCAACTCTCTGCTATGGCCTGGGAAAGCAGTAGAAAATGGCCCAAGTGCTTGGACCCGTGCATCCCCATGGGAGACCTGGAAAAAGCTCCTGGCTCTTGGCTTTGGATAGGCCCAGCTCCAGCCATTGCAGCTATTTGGGGAGTGAACCATGAATGGAAGGCCTCTCTGTCTCTCCCTCTCTCTATCTGTAACTTTGCCTCTCAAGTAAATAAATAAATTAAAAAAAAAAATTAGAAAAAGACTAAGACCATCTCTTCTTAGAGGCCTGTTCACACAAATGCTGTTTATCCTGTCCCAAGTTCTGGTTTCCATCCTTTTGTTGCTTACTTCCTCCCTCATTTTTCTAAAACCTGGCCTCAGGGCGCCAGTCCTTGTGTTCTGCCTCAGCTGGTGGGTCAGCGGGCAGAGGGGCAACCGCAAGGCATCCGTCAGTTCCAGCAGAATCCCAATTGGTAAGTCAGTGTAACCAGGAAGCTGGAGTCTCCAGGGTGAAGAATCAGAGGCCCAAATTACACGGCTGCTTGGTAAAACTGGTTCCTGTTTACCCCTAACAAACGCTTTGACTCACCTCTGGGCAGGAGAGTGGGACGTGTTCTAAGCAGCATTCCTAGAAGTTAAGAGGTGAGAGAGATGGATCTGGAAGCTCTGCTGTGCTTTCCTGTGTGCTTAGCCAGCTGTAGCCAACCCCTCCCAGCTCTGCTGCAAAGGCCCAGCCTTGGAAGAGTGTGGCCCCGCCGTGTCTGTGGCCTTGTGTAGAAAGTGGCCCAGCTAAGGTGAAAACTTTCTCTTTAGTCAGACACGGTAAGCAATTCTTTGGAGTGAAACTGAACATGACGTTAGAGGAGCGCCTGGGTATTAGCAGCCGCACTGCCATCCACATGTGACGGGGGTTGAGCAGAGTAGTAAGAGCTGTTAGCTGGGGAGTACTTTGGATGCTAAGTAGTGTCCTTGAAATACTCGTGTGCGGAAGAACTGAACTGTTAGCGTGCTGCCTCTGGGGAGGGCACTTCCATATCTTGTGGCCTGGGGTTCTCTGTTTCCTCGTTGCCCTGGCTTCCAGCAGTTGAGGTGTCCACAGTGAGAGGGTCCGCTGCCCTCTGGTTTGATTGACTAAGGTTCCAAATCACACTCCTAGGTATTTAAGGGAAGAATGAAGGTCTTGCATCTGACATCTTTTGTCAGGGGGAGTTAATTCGTTCTTAGGCATTGTGTACCAGGCCCTGCTCCCTGTTGAGAGCAGGAATCAGGAACTGGAGGTGAGAATGCAGACAAAAGGTCCACCGAAAGGTTAAACCCAAAACTGACAGCCACAGGCATCGCCAGACTTGGTAGGCCTGTGCTGAGGGTCCCTGTACTGCCAGACTTTGCCAGGCCAGGCTTGTCTTTCAGGACTGCTTAATTGAGTCTGAAGCATGCACTTTCTGTTTTTGAGCTCAGGATGGATTTCTGTGTCACCAAACTATCATTTGGTTGAACTAATCTCGTTCAGCATTTATTTTTTTCTATTTTTTTTTTTAAGATTTATTTATTTGAAAGTCTGAGTTACACAGAGAGAGGAGAGGCAGAGAGAGAGAGAGAGAGGTCTTCCATCTGCTGGTTCACTCCCCAAATGGCCACAATGGCTGGAGCTGTGCTGATCCAAAGCCAGGAGCTTCTTCCAGGTCTCCCACGTGGGTGCAGGGGTCCAAGCACTTGGGCCATCTTCTGCTTTCCCAGGCCACAGCAGAGAGCTGGATCGGAAGTGGAGCAGCCAGGACACAAACTGGCGCCCATATGGGATGCCAGCACTGCAGGCGGCAGCTTTACCCATTGTGGCACAGTGCCGGCCCCCAGCATGTCTTTTTAATTTAGATTTTTCACAAACTTAAAAAGATTTTTATTCATTTTCATTTTATTTTAAATGCTGAAAGACACCTTCCATCTACTATTTCATTCCCCAAATGTCCGCAACAACCAGGGGTGAGCCAGACCAAAGCCAGGAGCCCAGAACTGAATTCGGGTCTTCCATGGGGGTGGAATGGACCAAAGTACTTGAGTGGTCAATCATATGTTGTTCTCCAGGGTGTGCATTAGCAGGAAGCTGGAATCGGAAATGGAGCTGGGACCTGAACCCACACACTCCGATGTGGGATGTGGCATTCCAAAGGGCATTTTAACCACTGTACCAAGCACCAGCCCCTCATCTCTTGTTTTTAACCAATCAATTCATCTTGCCTTGGTCTACCCTGAGATCCTTATGTGACAAACTTCTAGATCCTACCCTAATTATCCCGTATTGGTCCAAAGTTAAACAGAATCAGCATCTTTTAAAAAAATAAAAAGATTTATTTATTTATTTGTAAGTCAGAGTTACACAGAGGAGAGGCAGAGAGAGAGAGAGAGAGGTCTTCCTTCCGATGGTTCACTCCCCAACTGGCCGCAAAGGCCAGAGCTGTGCTGATCCAAAGCCAGGAGCCTTTTCCAGGTCTCCCACACAGGTGCAGGGGCCCAAAGAGTTGGACCATCTTGCACTGCTTTCCCAGGCCATAGCAGAGAGCTGGATTGGAAGTGGAGCAGCCGGGTCTTGAACCGCGCCCATATGGGATGCCGGTGCTTCAGGCCAGGACGGTTAACCCACTGTGCCACAGCGAGGGCCCCAGAATCAGCATCTTAAGAAGTGTGGAAAGAAGACCTTATTGTTGTTTTAAGAAACCAACACTTTAGCCGGCGCCGCGGCTCAATAGACTAATCCTCCACACGCGGCACTGGCACACCGGGTTCTAGTCCCGGTCGAGGTGCTGGATCCTGTCCCGGTTGCTCCTCTGCCTGTCCAGCTCTTTGCTGTGGCCAGGGAGTGCAGTGGAGGATGGCCCAAGTGCTTGGGCCCTGCACCCGCACGGGAGACCAGGAGAGGCACCTGGCTTCTGGTTTTGGATCAGTGTGGTGTGCTGGCCGCAGCAGCCATTGGGGAGGGGGGTAGTGAACCAACAGAAAAGGAAGACCTTTCTCTCTCTCTCTCTCTCTCTCTCACTGTTCACTCTGTCTGTCAAAAAAAAAAAAAAAACTTTAATAAAGCAAAAATGCTGAAATGCTGTCATCACCCTTGTTCAGTGAACCCACAGCTAAGTGCCAGCTCTAATGCATTTCTCTTCCTCTGGGAGAGCTGGATGCCAAGGGTGCACCCCGATTCTGAAGTTGTCTGGAATGACCTATGCCTCTCTTCTCTCTCGCTGAGCACTACTGATTTGGATTGTTCCCTCTGTTACCACCCTTCATTTAAGGAATTCCTTGAAAACATGAATTAAAAAATAAAAATGGGGTCTGGGCTGCAGAACTTAATGTCCCTTTTAAAAAAACTGACTTTGAATTGGGGCCAAAGAGTTTAATGTGTTTACTTCAGTTGCTAATCTTAGGAAATTGTCAAAGATGAACAGGGCAATTTCCAGGGTTATTTAATAGCTTTTCCCCAAAATGTATTGAAAAAGAGTGAAAAGTTCAGGTGCTGTGATGACATCAGCTCTCAAGTACCAAGGGCCTTGGAGGTGGGTGAACTGATCTGAACTTTGAGCAGCCAAGGAGGGGGCAGCAGCATCCTGAGGCTGACATCCTGGGAATTTGCTGTTTGCTTTGGAGAGGTGGGGTCATGGCGCTTCCACACAATGTCCCTTCTTAGAAGCCACTTTTTAACCTAGGGCAAGCTACAGCAGATAAAGCCATTCCTGGAGTCCCTGTGTATCTAAGCTCCAGTCATCTTCACCCGGCTTTGCCACGTCTGGATGAGCACAGCTTCAGATCCAGGACACTTGTCAGATCCAAGTGGGTTTTAATCTCATGATGCAAAGCAAAAATGCTTTTAAGAGCAAAATCTCCCAGGAGTACCGCCGCCCTCAGCCACTGCAGACGAGGAGGCGTTTGTGGGAGAGAAGGGTGGCTACAGACGTCATTGCAGCATCCAGATCCCAGCTGTGACCTGGCTCAGAGTTTTGCAGTTAAAAATAACCATGGCTTCGAGTTGGGGGTGGGGGTGGGAGTAAACTGTTGCATTTCCATGGAAACTAGGAGGTTGGGGGAAGGGGGAGAGGGAAGTAGGCAACTGATTTCTAGCACATGTGGCACAATGAGGTGGATGTAGGAGCCCAGGAGCTTAGAGGGCCTCTGATGAGAGGTGATACCCCTAATAGGCATCCAGGATGTAGCCAGACACTGCCCCAGGGCTCTGGAGACACTGTTTGCATCACGGAAGTGTCTACAACAACAAGTACATCTTGGTTCTGCTGAAGAATGTGTTTCAGGCTCCTGGCTTCCTGTAGCAGACTTGTTACTATCTGGCAAAGCAAAGAGTCGATGAGCAACACACTAGGTTACATGTCGCCTCTCAACCAGCCTGGGCGCCTCTGCTACCCTACCATTCCCAGACCTCTGCTTCCTGTTGCACAGGCAGCAGCCTGACAGTTTATAACTACAGTAGAAGCCTCCAGGCTTCGGGACTGGTTTGGACCTTTTACTACTTCTGGGACCAGGTTTTTTCTCTCTGGTGTTGCAAGAAATTATGCAAAGCAGCAGTCATTACCTTGGATGTTTTTAAAAGTACTTGTATGTCTCATACCACTTCTGGTATGCTTACCACCAAGCGTAACCAACTCCTGGAAGGAAGTATTTTAGGTCTCCATTTCTCCGCTTCTAAATGGTTTATTTAAAAAATATTTTTTCAGGTGGGTCATATCCAAGTAGCAGCTTGAGTCACAGCGACTCTGCTTCCGATCCAGTTTCCTGCTAATGCACCCTGGGAGACAGCAGGAGAGTGCTTGGTCTCTGCCGCCCTCATAGGTGACCCAGATGGAGGTTCCAGGCTCCCGCCTTTGGCCTGGCACAGCCTTGGCTGTTCTGAGCATCTGGGGCTGAACTAGTGAGTGACTGGAAGCTCTTGCTCTCTCACTCTCTTTCTCTCTGTTGCCCTGCCTTTTAAGCAGCTAAAAAATATTTTTTAAATACATGAATACATTTTATTGTACAAAGACATTTTTTAAAGATTTTTTTATTTTGAAAGGCTGAGTTACAGATGCAAAGGAGGGGAGGAGAGGTAGGGAGACAGATCTTCCAACTGCTGGCCAGGGCTGAGCCAGGCCAAAGCCAGAATCCAGGAGCTTCATCCAGGTCTCCTACACGGAAAGTAGGGGCCCAAACACTTGGGTCTTCCTCCATTGTTTTTCCTAAGCCATTAGCAGAGAGCTGGATTGGAAGTGGGGCAGTGGGGACACAAACCAGTGGGATGAAACACCACATGAGGGGCTTTACAATCTAAGCCATAACACCAACCTCATCTTGGGCAAGTTTCTTAACCCCGCATGTCTGAAGTGTGGCTGGTAATGCCTACTTGCCTGGGTGTGGCAACGATCAAATGAGACAAGTAATAGAACATGCCTGGTGCCTCCCTTCTTTCTTCTCCCATTGAGCCTTTGGTATTTTCTTGTACCACACATGTAATGGTAAAAGCTCACAGAGGGGCACTACGATCTGGAAGACACAAATGTAAAACAGGTGCCTTTTGCAAGAATGTTGTTTGTCTTGGATTCTCATTACTGCATCACTGCCTCAGCCCTAGGGATGAATTAAGTGCGTAAAATGCAGACAGATTTTAAATTTACATTGTTACCCTAGACATGTTGTAATATTCCGTCAAATAATGCCTACCTCAAAAAGTGTGATGTCAGCTTACAATGTTGTTTGTACACTATTTTAATTACTTAAGACTTTAAAATCTTGTATAGGAAAAAGACCAAAAAAATCCAGGTACTAATCATTGTTTTTAAGTAATAAAATTATGATGGAGGTGCTTGGGTGCCTTTTTTCCTCTATTATTTTTTCTTTTAATATGTACTTATTTGAAAGGCAGAGAGAGAGAGAAAGAGAGACAACAAGATATTTTCCATTCACTGGTTCACTCCTCAAATGGCCACAACAGCCTGGGCAGGGCCAAAGCCAGGAGCCTGGAACTCCATCTGGGTCTCCCATGTGGGTACAGGGACACAGGGGACTTGGACCATCTGCTGCTGCTTTCCCAGGTACATTAGCAGGGAGCTGGATGGGAAGTGGAACAGCTGGGACTCAAACCAGCACTTATATGGGACGCAGACAGATGGCAACTTAACCTGCTGTGCCACAATGGTGGCTTCTGTATCCTTTCTTTGATACAATTAATTTTCATTTTATTTTAAAGAACCAGAAAAGGAGAGATCTTCCAATAGCTGGTTCATTTCCCCAAATGCCTGCAATAGGCAGGCCAAAGCTAGGTGCCCAGAACCCAGTCCGTGTCTCCCATGTAGGTGGCAGGGACCCAGTACTTGAGCCTTTGTCTGCTGCCTCCCAGAGTACGCATTTGCAGGAAGCTGAACTGGAAGCGAGGAGCTGGGACTCAGACCAGGCACGCTGGTAACAGGATACGGGCATCCCAAGTGGTCCTTAATGATGTGCCTAACAGGCCCGCTTATCATTTATTTTTTACTGGAAAATATATTTTTAAATTGTATTAATTTTATTTATCTGAAAGGTAAAGAAGCAGAGATCTTCCATCTTCTGGTTCACTGCCCCAGATAGTTGAAATGGCCAGGGCTGGGCCAGACCAAAGCCAGGAGCTTCTTCGAGGTCTCCTATATGGGTACAACAACCCAAGTACTTGAGCCGTATTCCATTGCTTTTCCCAGGCCATTAGCAGGGAGCTGGCTCAGAAGTGTAGGGAGGACTTGAACTGGCACCCATATTGGATGTTGGTGTCACAGGTGGTGGCTTTACCCACCATGCCACGACACCAGCCCCAGAAAAGTAAATTTTATGAGGACTTTGAAAACTCTAATAGAAGTTGAAGTATTTTACATGTAATAAAATCGACCAGTGCCGCGGCTCAGTAGGCTAATCCTCCGCCTAGCGGCGCCGGCACACCAGGTTCTAGTCCCAGTCGGGGCGCTGGATTCTGTCCCAGTTGCCCCTCTTCCAGGCCAGCTCTCTGCTATGGCCAGGGAGTGCAGTGGAGGATGGCCCAAGTCCTTGGGCCCTGCACCCCATGGGAGACCAGGAGAAGTACCTGGCTCCTGCCTTCGGATAGACGCGGTGCGCCGGCCGCAGCATGCTGGCTGCAGCGGCCATTGGAGGGTGAACCAACGGCAATGGAAGACCTTTCTCTCTGTCTCTTTCACTGTCCACTCTGCCTGTCCAAAAAAAAAAAAAAAAAAAAATCGAGTTAACCCTATGACAGCCATGTAAGGTGTTGCCTTACATCTTGTGAAATTGCACAAGACTTAGGCAAACTCCTGTAGTAAATAGTTTTGAGACGCCTATCCTGCTAGTTCTTTTTATCTTTTCCACATTTATAGAATTCTCTCAGGTACCTAGTGACCACTGTCCCTCTCAAACTTGCCAAAGGGCAGCAGCTGAAAAATTTACTTCTCCCAGGGGACCTTGCATTTTTATAGCCATCAATTGTACGTAACGTGTAATTACAGGTGGCAGCAAGCAGGCCTTGGAGACATCTGTGAGCCTGGCATCCTGAAATCAAGCGTCTAGACTGGGGAATGCTGCTGCTTGCTGCCCCCCCAATTCTGACAGAGCCACGCTGCGGCTCATTTGTTCACAGGAGGCCACAGCAGGAGTGGAAGATGCTAGTACAGGGACCTCCGGAAGTCTGATTAAAGAGTAGTCATTGCCCAAGCAGCTAAGAAGGCTATTCTCAGAAAGGCGGACACCCAGAGCTACGCAGAGTAGGCGTTCCCACCCTGTGCTTACTGTGTCTAATCTGATCAGCTCTCGCGTGCGCAGACGCTGCCCTGCTCGGAAGCACCGCTTATTTAGTTGGGTCAGGAGGACCCAAACCTTCTGGGCACAAATTATGCTTTTGTAGCAAACAGCCTCTAAAATGTTTCTCAAACTATTTATAGCCTAGAAATACGCTATCCAGTAAAATAGCCACGAGCCACAGTTTAAACTGATCGAAATAGAACAAAATAAAATAAATTCCATGCCTAGCTACATTTCCATGTGGGTCGCGGCTATTGCACTGCACAGTGGAGATCCAGTGTGGCTTACGCACTTCTTTGGGCAGTGCAGCAAGTCTAGAAGAGAATGCCTTCTAGTCTTTGGTTTTTTATTTTTTTTAGGGACCCATGGAAGTCCACACTTCCTCATTCTGCAAAGGCATCAAGCACCTCCTCCCCACAAGCATTTAAGCAGTCAAGAACTGGCTCACTGACCTCAGCACGCTTCCCACTTTCCTTAATCCCTAAATCTTTACGCCTCACACTCACGGGGAGCCCACGCCACTCCCCGTTCCCTGAAGGCAGGATGCTTCACATCCCCCTGGCCGTCATCCGTGAACATGGCCCGCTCCTTGTCCCTAGCCGTCGCTTGTTCTGAAAGCCGCCTTCTGCTGCGTGCCCAACAGGCTGGACTCTGGAGAGGGATGGAGCTATTTGTGCTGCTGAGTCATGGAACTGACTGGGGAAGGACTTGGGCGAGAAGCAGCAAGGAGGCAGCACACAATCACTCCAATTCGAGATCTGGCTATTTTCGGGTTGGCGTGTCAAAAAATGCGGCACTACACGAATGCCCAGGACAAGACGCTTATCCGAGGCAAGACGTGAACTCGTGTTTTACCCCGAGTCGTGTTTTGCGTCGCTTTCAGAGAAAGGTTCACTTTGCCTCATTTCTAAAGCTCTGTTCTCTTCTTAGGAAGGCAAAAATAAGTCTTTCCCTCCTGTGCCTTTGTAAAAAGCTCTCCCGGGGTGATCACCCAAGTGCCTTTGATGTTATATTTTTATCTGGGAAGCAGACAAAACTTTTAGATAGTCCAGCCCCCGCAGCGTGACTCCGACTCGGCTCGGCCAGCGCCGATCTGGAGCTGGCGAGGAGCTCGGGGTTGCAGATGTCGGGGGCGGCGGCGCACAGCGCGGCTGCTCGGCCTCCTCCCCACCCCCGACTGGGCAGCGGCGACGAGCCGGGGCCCCTGGGCGTCGGCCTCCCGGCCGCCCCCGGGCTCGGCTCACCTGCCCGAGGCGCTGCCCAAAGCCAGCTGGCAGCGGCTTGCTGGGGCAGCGCGGCGCGGACCTCAGGGGAAGACCCGCACTCGGAGGGGCGCTCGAGGAAGCCGCGGAGGCACGGGCTGGGGTCTCGCAGCAGGCGGAGACGGCCGTGAGGATGCCTCCTTCTGGGTCTCGGACCGGACACCGCCCGTGTCAGAGCGGCCGCAACTCACTCCGCAGCCGCCTGGCACTTCTTCCCCTGAACTCTGCGGCCGGGCGCCGAGGGCCGAGGGCCGAGGGGGAGGACGAGGGCCGGGCGCCCGGGCGCTCACGGCGGGCTTCACGCCTTTGTGCCGGGCCGGTTTTCTGAGCCCCGATCCTCTCACACCCCCAAAGTACCCCAGTCCCCTACACACACACACACACACACACACACACAGCACCCCCTCCTCCAACCCGGCTCAGGGCCACGACGTAAAGTGGGGAAAAGGAGTCGTAAACACGTGACAAGCCAGGAGACGGCAGCCGGGACCCCGGACCCGAGGCGCTCCCCGGCCGCCGCGCACGCGCACGCGCCCAGCGCCCTCCTCCCCGCGCCGAGCGCCCCCCCGGGAGCCGGCGGCGGGGCGCAGGGAGCGTGCGCGCGGCCCGCCCCGGGCGCGGGCGGAGGGGCGGGGGAGGGGCGCGCGCGCGGCGTCCAGCCCGCAGAAGCCGGGAAGCGCGCCGGAGGACGGAGCCCAGGCGCGAGTCGGCGGAGCCGGTGAGGAGCCTGCAGGGCTGGGGCACTGGGGGCGGGCCGGGTGCGACCGCGCGCCGGCGGGGCTGGGGGTCCTGGGGGAGCCGGGACCCGCGCGAGACCTCCGTCTCTGAAAACTTTTGTGCCGGCGCCCGCACCTGCTCTGCTCCCGGGCGGTTCTCCCGACCTCTGGGGTGGCGCGAGGAGGGGAGGCCCGGGCCCTCCGCAGCGCCCTCTCGGCCGGGAGAGGTCCTGGCTCGCCGGCCCCGGGCGCGCCCCCGGCTGGCCCCCTCGGCGGGTGCGGGGCGGCCTCGGGACTCCGCACCCCACGCTCGGTCGCCAGCATCCTGGTTCCTGACCCTGGCTCTCGGCCCGGCCACGGCCTCTCCCGCCTCACCCCGCCGTCAGCATCCTCGGGGCGGGCGCGGCGGCTTCTGGCATCTCCCACGGCTTCTGGTGCGCACTGGTGGAGGGGCGCCCTGCCTGGCGCGGCGCCGGGTCCTGGACGCGCGGTTTCTCTGCGGCGGGCGATCGGTGCTAGCAGCGGTCCTTCCCCGCCCCAGCTCGGGCGCGAAGCGGGGTTGTGCGTGTGAGAGGGGAGCTGTGTGCGTGGCCGCCCGAAGTGGATTGTATAACTACATTTTATTTCGGTGGATGTTGCCAAGGGTGCCAGCCAGTGTTATGGTAACGGGGCATCCCGGAGGCAAGGCAAAGGGGAGTCGCTTGCAAATACAGTTTTCCGTGTAGGGATTTTTTTTTTTTTTTAAAGAACCTCCCCTTGTACTTTCCATGCGGCGGGACCTCAAGGCGTTTAGCTTGTGTGAACTCGTTAGCCGTCCATTACAGTTTTCTAAGAGCCAGGTGGAGAGCTTCGCCGTCGCGTTTGACGAAGGAAGAGCGAACTTTACTCAGGGAAAGGACTGTGGGCCCAGAGACTGAAGCCAGGGTTCGCGGGTGTCCCCAGCCCGGACGGCCACTGTGCAGGGTCAGGGTGTGTGTGGGGGTCCCCCCTGCCGGGTCCGGGTCTGCCACGGAGACTCGGGCCAAGTCCCAGCCGCGGCCACGGAGGTGCCGCTTCTCGGGGCAGTTGCGGGAGTGTGTCTGGAAGATGCGCTGCGGGTCGTGGGCGCGCGAGGGCTCCGGGACTAAGCGGCCGCCCTCCTCTGCCCGAGACACCTGAGCATGGCGCGCGGGAGCCGCACCTGGCGGGGGAGCGGATTCCCGGGAGCAGGCAGGCCGAGGCCGCGCGCGGCGCCCTGACACGCGGGCCCGGCTCCTGCCCCCGGCTCTGACTCATCTTCTGACGCTTGGGGGAGGAGAGATCGGCGCTGGGTATTTTTGGCTTTCCCCCATAAAATGGGAAACAGTTGCCTCGGTCCCGAGTCTTGAACGGCGTCTCGGCGGGCTTCTCGTCGGCAGTCCTCCTCTTGGCTGGCCGCAGGTACGCTGTCTGTCCTACTCTGCAGTGGCCCCAGCGTGTGTTCGTACTGGCCGGGTGTGGACGTCTGCGAGATCCTTTAGACCTGAGCAGAAACGCGGACGTTTAAAAGATGAGCTTTTGGGGGGGGGGGGGGGCTGGTGCTTTCCTTTGCATTTGGAGTTTTGTTTTAAAGGCAAGGTGGGTTCAAGTGCTTTTTTGTTGATATCATGAGAAATGTGATATTCATTCTCTGTATAAAAAATTAAAACTTTACTAATAAGGTTAAAACCTTTTAGGCATCTTTCTCAAAAGTAACTGCTTGTGCATCCTTTTAGACTTTTTACAGCATTTTCTTAAATGTCTGCACCGACTTTTTTTTTTTTAAACTGCAATTAATTTTTAGATTGAGTGGCCCTACTCTTAGAGATTGGCTTGTGTTCAGAACAAGTGGCATTTTTTTTTTTTTTTTTTAAAGTAGCACGCAGGATGCAATGTTCTGTTAACCCTGACAGCATGCTGTGTTGCTTAGGCCATCGGGCAAAAATGACCTTTTCTTAAACAGCTTCAGAATCATTGAATCTTTGCAGTCCTGGGCTTTCCTCTCACATGCAAATACGAGCTTCTTGGAATTGCTTAGAGCCAATAGTGTTGTTGTCTTTGCTTGTAAGGAGGCATGATAGGGAGTGGAAGGCAGGGAGAGTTGCTACCGCAACGGAGGCCTGGGTATAAACTTACAGAGCTAACATTTAAAGTGGCAGCTTTATTATTTACAAAAGCTTCCGTGGGGTGAAGACGAAGAAAGCAAAGTGTTGATGTGGGCACAGCTGAGAAGAGTCACTTCAGGAAATGAGTGAAAATAAAATTCACATCAGGGACGCGTGGATTTGTACATTAACCGGCAGCTGTGCTGAGTACCAGGGTAAGAGGCAAGTCAGGCCCCTGACCGTAGGAAGGGGACAGGCTAATATGACACTCAGGGAGCCAGTGCTGCTTCCTCAGAGTGGCCAGGATTGTTGTCCTGGTCTCCGTTCCTGGAGAGCAACAGTAACGCTTTTCCTTGTGGACACAGGTATAACACAGATGGGTACCTGCTCAGTCGCTTTAAAGAAAACACAAGGATGGCCATCTCCTCCTGGCCCAGCTCCCCGGCACGTGACCTGGCCAGTAGCTACCCTGAGTCGAAGGAAATCTCTTCTTTTTCTAAAGTTTTTATCTGCTACAATTAAATCTCTAAGCATGCTAGTTTTAATTTGCTTGTTTTTCACCTCTATGCAAATGGAATCAAAATAGGTGTTCTTTAGGATTCTCCTCCTTTTGAGTCACCCTCCCACACACACACACTTTTTGTTTACTTAAATTTCTTCAGCGTGCTGTTTTTGAAGATTCGGCTGTGTTGCCTGTGACTGTAGTTCACTATTGTATGACCATGCCACAGACTGTCTATTCACTGTTGATAGACATCTGAGTTATTTCTGGTCTGGGGCAATTATGAATAGTTGTGGGCCGCGTGGGCGCATCCTCAGCTTTATGAGTTGATGCCTTTTCTCCAAAGTGGTTGTCACCAATTTACATTCCTTCAGTGCTGTCAGCCTTGGATGTGTGATCTCACGTCCTTGCTCTTTGCTCGTAATGTGCTTGGGTATTCCGTGAGTGACTAAATGGACCTCTGGCCCATCAGGTACCAGTGTATTTCAGTTTAAGTTTAGTTATATGGTTTGCACCAACTTCACCTCCTAACACCAGGAATGTGTTTCCCCTGTCTTTGGTTGGCAGATATCTAATAGATTCTTTACATTGGTTTTTGTTTTGAGTAGTGATAGGGTAATTTAAATATGCAAAGTGAAGTACTAAATATAAGTGTTTTGTACCTGGAAACCTTGTAGCGGTCTTGAGTGAATCCTGCCTCCGGTGAATTACTGCCTCTGCCCAATCCTGAGTGTGTACCACAGTCAGTGTGTGAAGTGCACAGGGACCCAGAGTCCTCATTACAGAACCTGCGGAGGTCAGGGCCACACACTGCACCTGCTTATTCACTCAGAGACAGACCCTGGCTACTACTTCTCTGGGTAGTTCCAAAATAATCACATTAGCCGCATCCTCTTTGCTACAGAACAGACAGCTCTGATAATCTTTAGAATGTATATTTATCTAAATCTTCCTTTGTATGCGAATGTAGAGGTGGTGTAGAGGGAGAGAATTTCTGCTTTCTGAGGAGTTGCCGACTTTGAGTGCCTGTGTTTAGTTTTGCTAGCTGGATTTAAAGCCAGGCCGTGTGTGCGGGAGGCGGAGGGAGGATGAGGAGGCCACCTGGGGACAGTTGTTAGATTCCAGACTTTGCTGAGTATCTTTGGTGAACCCACACTGTGTGCCGGTAGAGCAGAAGGCGCTGTAATCCTACAGGTTTACCAGATCCCTTCGGGGGATCCATTTTCTTTCCTGGAAGGATGCTGGAGTGTGAGATCCACAGTTCCTTTTTATTTCTTCCGTGAGGCATCTTAGAAAATGGCTACATTACTCTCTTGTCAGTGCTTACTTACATGTCACAAATACTTTTTTGCTTATTATGGTAAAGATTTTTTTAGAACCTCTAATCAAAATTTTAAAAACCCCATATGTGTAAATTAGAAGTTTTCAAGAAAAGATACTCAGGGGCGAGCATTTGGCGCCGTGGTTAACACGCCTCTGGGGACGCCCACCTCGAATGTCATGGTGCTTGGGTTTGAATTCTGGTTCTGCTCCCTAGTGCAGCCTCATTAATGCACACCCTGGGAGGCAGCAGGTGAGGGCTTAAGTACTTGGATCCCTGCCGCCTATGTGGGAGACCAGTTTTGAGTTCTCGGCTCCTGGCTCTGGCTTGGCCCAGCCCTGCCTGTTGTGGGCATTTGGGGAGTGAACTAGCAGACAGGAGATCCCTGTATCTCCTGCTTTTCAATTAAAAAAAAGAAATAAAAAGACACACTGTGAGGAGGATTAAAAAGTGGTGTCATCACCTTTCAACTGCGGTGACAGCAGGGCTGGTCCTCTATGTGTCTGATACCTCCTTGGTCTTCCAGTGGGCGGACCCACAGAGGAGCCTCATGGCCCCACAAGCTGCAGGGCAGGGGCAGCATGAGCCCCGGGGAAGAGCCGGGTGTGACCATCATGGTCGTGCCCTGGTGTGGGAGTACGTGGCCCATGCAGCAAACCTTGGCATTTTCCATTCTTGACCTTAAACTACGAAGAGTGACCTCCCATTTGGCTCCAGCTGCTTTTCCACTCCTCCTGCCCTCGAGATCTCTGGACGGAAAAGCTCTTTAGAAACTCATGTGCAGCGGCTGCCTTTTTCCCAGGACAGTCTCGGCATCAATGGCCTGTGGCAGGCTTTTTGACTCCTTAGGTCTTTGAGTTTGTGGGTAGGGGTGAGAAGCCCCTTTGACATGTAGGTGGCAGAGAGGTGGTGAGTGAGGCACCAGCCTTCCTGGCCTGGGAGAGAGACCATGAGGTGGGTTTGCTTGAAGTCTAGAGGAAGCACTGGTGAGAACAGCAGTGCAGCATTTGTTACTGTAAATGTGAAATCAGGATTTATAATTAAGAATCTGCTGACGTGGCTGTTGTACTACTCTGGCGTCTGCCAAGTTCTCTCACCAAATCGACTTGACTCGTTGTTCCTACTCCTGTGTAGGCTGCTGCCAGACACAGGCTAGAGACTGAAGAGGGGTCTTGGACTGACAGCCACTTGCAGTTAATGTTCTTCTTCTTTTTAAAATATTTATTTATTTTTATTTATTAGGCAGTTAGAGGCAGACACACACACACACACACACACACATACGAGATACTTTCCATTCTCTGATTCATTCCCCAGATGGCTGCAGAACAGCTAGATATGGCTCAGGCCCAAGGCAGGAACCTAGAACTCCATCCAGGCTTGAACCATCTTCTGCTCCTTTCCTGGGCACATTAGCAGGAAGCTGGATTGGAAGTGGGAGCAGCACTCATATGGGATGCTGGTGTCCCAGGTGGCAGTTAAATCCAGTGTGCCACAGTGCTGAGCCATGAAAACATACACACACACACACACACACACACACATTTACATAATGATTTAGTGGTTTATTTGAAAGGTAGAGTTATAGGGAGAGATGGAGAGACAGATCTTCCATCCGCTGGTTCACTCCCAAAATTACCACAATGGTTGGGGCTGAGCCAGCCCAAAGCCAGGAGCAAGAAGCTTCCTCCGGGTCTCCCACGTGGGTGCAGAGGCCCAAGGACTTGGGCCATCCTCTGCTCCTTCCCAGTTACATTAGAAGGGAACTGGATCAGAAGAGGAGCAGCCAGGACATGAACTGGTGCCCACATGGGATGCTAGCGTTGAGGGTGGCTTAACCCACTGTGCCAGAATGGCGGCCCCAAGAAGATAATATTTTTAAAAATAAATTACATTTATGGAGTTCCAGTTATCTTCTGGGAAATTAAAGTAGATGACATTTCTCTTGTGCTGGCTTCTACAGCACATATCCTAAAATTGGAACAGTATCCGTCTTCTCCCAGTAGCATCTTAGTCTTACTTGTCAGTTCCTCCTAGAGGTGCTTGCTAGAAATGTGAACGCCCAGGCCTTCACTCGCGGAACTCCATTAGGTCTGGGGTGAAGTCTCAGCGTCTGCAGCCCAGCAAGTCTCACGAAGGCTCCGCTGGCCACACTGGAAAACTGCGTCACCACTCCAGGATGGTGTGTAGCTCGCTAACTTCAACTGAGCGTTGACAAACTTTCTGAAAAAGGGCCAGGTCGTAAGAATGTCAGGCAGTGGGCCCCATGGTTCCGTGACAACTGCTTAACACTGCCAGTCTAGCACAGAAGGGTGAATGTAACGAATCAGTGTGACTGTGTCCCAGAACAACTTTACTCATGAACACTGACATTATTTCAAGTTCATATCATTCAAATGTGCCATGACATACTATTCTTCTGATTTCTCTTTTAGTCATTAAAATATATATACATACAAACCATTCTTAGATCATGGGCAGAACAAAAACAAGT